AGGTTCAGGGTTCGCGGGATTTTCGTTATCCATCAATTCCAGGGGCTCCTTCTTCATCGCGGGCATCGGCCTCGTTTCCGGGGGCATCGTGGCTGTGCAGACAACCATTTTTTGCTCGCGGAATCCTGCACTGAAAGCACTTTTCGTGTATTCACTGACACTGATGCACCAAAATTATACCCGTTTTTTCATTGCCTTTGTGCTGGAGATGGCAATTTATCGATTGGGCTAGAGATGGTTCAGCTCTGTCCAAGATTTCGTGAGCCACACGATAGTCGTCAAATATCAAAAAAGAATAATATTACCGATACATACCCATTATTGAAAATTGTTTGACAAACATAAAATATTTGATTTTTGTCACTTTATCCAAAATTTAAACATGAAAAGAAAATTATCTACTTAACATATAATAGGGCAGAGCAAACGTGATTTACCTGAATGACAAAACGTAACTGACCTAATGTATTTGATTGCATTACTTGTTTTGTAATTCCATTGAAAATAGACTCAATTGTTAAACTTTTATAATCTTGATAATGTGGGAATTTTTCTTTTAGTCTTCTGTGATTAATTTTTGTTTTAATGAATAGATATATTGAGTGTGACGTATTAAGAAAATCAAATATCGATATCTATTATTATTTTCCAAGGCACATATCTGGTTTGGTGAAATACTTAATAATATATATACAAATAACATTATTTTTTTTTTAGTTTTGACAGATGAAGTAAATTATTCTAATGAGTAATCTTTTTTTTTTAATCTATTATAGATTTACTCTTCTAATAACTTTGGAAATCCCTCTGGGAAGTTTTAAAATATTTTAATTTAAGTTTAATCAAATCGATAGCTTGTCGTTTAACAACACTACCCAGCAGATGTCGCTTTTCAGTATTTACGCACTGACAGATGCGCTGTCCCCGAAATCCGGTCACACCAACTGTCAACGCGACTTCCGCTCTTTTCCTACCCAACTCGCGGAGCAAAATGCAGCAGAAGGTATTTGTGCCTGTGAAAAAACGAAGAATTCGTGCCTAACTAATGTCTAAAATGTTGCAAATATTTGTATTTTGCAGCGCAGAGAACCCGTGCAGGCAGTCCAGGTCTTCGGACGCAAGGTGTGTGTGAATAAAACGACTGAAATCCAACGAAATTTTCGCACGTGTCGCAGACCAAAACTCGCGTCTGTCCGGCGGCGGCTAATATTTTGAGCCACCGCCGCCCCATCACCGCAGAGGTTATGTTTGTGTGTGCGAGAGTTTCGTTCAGGAATTTGGACTCTTTCCCGAACATCCATGGACCATTTAGTAATGCCGGCAATCTTTATTGTTGCAGAAAACCGCCACCGCCGTCGCTTACTGCAAGCGTGGCAACGGCCTCCTGAAGGTGAACGGTCGTCCCCTGGAGCAGATTGAGCCCAAGGTCCTGCAATACAAACTGCAGGAGCCTCTCCTGTTGCTCGGCAAGGTATGTACTGCGAACGAGGAGTCTTAGAAAGCCATGTTTCCGTTTCTAAAGAACGCTGAAAAGGGAAGTACAAACCACAAATTGTTTTGAAACTAAACTAATGTGCATTTAAAGTAAATATTGTAAAAGCTTTTGGTTAAAAGTAAAAAATCAAATGCTAAAACATTTGTAATTTTTAAATCCCAACCAAAAACGGAAGCATGGCCTTTTGAACCAAAATGATGATAACATTTATCCCGAATTCGAAGCCAAATGAGATTACTATTTGTTTCTGATCAAAATCAATCAAAAGGCTTATTTATAACAGCTTGGAAACATTTTATTAATTTATATAAATCTTGTTTTTTTTTCAGGAGAAATTCGCCGGTGTAGACATCCGTGTGCGCGTCAGCGGTGGTGGTCATGTAGCCCAGATCTACGCCATCCGCCAGGCTATTTCCAAGGCCCTCGTTGCCTTCTACCAGAAATGTAAGTGTAATCTAAGAAATGGCCGTCTTAATGGGTTTTGTTCAACGGAAAACACATCCCCTTGGCAAATAACCTGAGTGATGAGCATATACCAACAAAGCTGCAAGGCTTTTGCGCATTTTTGGATGATACTCTTTAGAAGAACTAGGATTTGAAGATACCTTTCTCCAGATTTTTGTTGGAATTATTTGCCTTTTCCTTCGAATCATTATTGAAAGGTAGATCAAACTAAATTATGAGCATATACCAACCAATCTGCAATGTTATTGTGCAGATTGGGTGATGCTTCAGGAACACCAGTATTATCAAATACCTTCTTTCCTTTTTTGATGGAATTGTACCCTTTATCCTTCGAATTATTATGAAAGGTAGATTAATCTAAGTTATGAGCATATTATGAACCAAGCTGCAATATTATTGTGCAGATTGGGATATGCTTTAGGAACACCATAATTTTTAGGTACCTTTTTACAGAATTCTTCAATACCTTTTTCCTTTTATTTTGATGGAATTGTTATCTTTATCCTTCGAATTATTATGAAAGGTAGATTGATCTTATTTATGAGCATATATCAACCAAGCTGCAATAGAATTGTGCAGATTGGGATATGCTTTAGGAACATCAGAATTTTTAAACAGCTTTTCTTCAATACCTTTTTCCAGATTTTTGTTGGAATTGTTTGCCTTTTCCTTCGAATCATTATTGAAAGGTAGATTAAATATAATTATGAGCATATACCAACCAAGCTGCAAGATTATTGCGCAGATTGGGTGATGCTTCAGGAACACCAGAATTTTAGATAGCTTTTTACAGAATTCTTCAATACCTTTTTCCAGATTTTTGTTGGAATTGTTTGCCTTTTCCTTCGAATCATTATTGAAAGGTAGATCAAATATAATTATGAGCATATACCAACCAAGCTGCAAGATTATTGCGCAGATTGGGTGATGCTTCAGAAACAATTGAGCCTTTTTTAAGTATTCAGCACCTTCTCCCAGATTTTTGTTGGAATACACAGCCTGTTCCAGTGAAGGACTCGAGCAAGGGAGATTAAGTGCATGTCGCAATCAAAGAGAGTGATCGGCAGATTTGACCATTGCTATTTGAGGCTTCATCGACACTTTGCTGCCAAAGAATTGTACATGTTCTTTCATAAAATGTATAGTTTACTAACTCTTCGAATTCTCTTTCTTACAGACGTCGATGAGGCCTCCAAGAAGGAGATCAAGGACATTCTGGTGCAGTACGACAGAACCCTGCTGGTCGGCGATCCGCGTCGCTGCGAGCCCAAGAAGTTCGGCGGTCCAGGTGCCCGTGCTCGCTACCAGAAGTCGTACCGTTAAACTACTCTGTCTGGTTTTCAATTTGGATTAGAACTATTTTTTACAACTTGAAAATGGTTTGCACACAAGTGCGAATAAAACGGAATAATTAACTGTACAAACGTGTGCTATTGTTGCATTTAAATATTGGGTATATCAAAACACGTGGGGCAAAACTATAAACTCTTTTATTCGTTGAATTGTAAAACCATCTGTACGGAATGCTCAATCGCAACAGTGAACTAATATAAACCAACTGTAAGGATGACCCAAAAGAAGAGGTTTTGTTTTTAATTACAATGAATAAATATGAATATTACCCAAACTATTTAGCTTATAATATAAGATAAATCAAAATATTTTATATATAGTAAGTTAAATATAAAGTTTAAACGATCTTGTAATTATATATGAAAAGATTACAAACTATTTTAAAAATATATCTTTTAATCGCAAAAAAAAAAAAAGTTTGCGTCCGTGCTAAACGACTATCAACGTATTATTCCAGTATATTTCAGTACAGCGGCTATGGTCACACTGCAGTGTTGCCTTTGAAAATGTAGCTAGATTCAAAGTAGCTAAAAACAAAAGGCAACTAAAAAATGTTTTTCGAAATAATCGCTAAAAAATATAATGAAAATAATATTTTCCTATTTTGCCTCAATTAGTATTGTCTTAGCAACAATTTTTTGTGCAGTTTTTTAAAAAGTACATAATGTAGAAGAAACTATGCTAGGAAAGTGCGTCGTCCAACATTTCCACCAGTTATCCTCATTTGCTACAAAACAGCCGAATTGGCAACACTGCCTCGTAGTTAGTCATGGGAGCTTTGTTTGGGAAAAGCAGCAAAAAGACGGCTCCTAGCCGGATTACCGACCAGGACAAGGCGGTGCTGGTGAGTTGGTGGTCACTGTGTCACCTGGAAGTCCCCAAAAATCCCCATATCCATTTTCCATTGCAGCAATTAAAGCAACAAAGGGATCGCCTTAAGCAGTACCAAAAACGCATAGAAACGCAGCTGGAGAATGATCGACTTATGGCCAGGAAGTGCCTGCAGCAGGGTCGCAAGGAGTATGTATAATACCGGACTTATTTGGACTCTACAGATCCACCTAACCCGAGTGATTCCTTTTCAGCCGGGCCAAACTGCTACTGCGCAAAAAGAAGTACCAGGAGAGTCTCCTGACCAATGCCGACAAGCAGCTGGAGAACCTGGAAAAGTTAGCCGCCGATCTGGAGTTCGCCCAGGTGGAGATGAAGGTGCTGGACGGCCTCAAGGCGGGAAATGCGGCCCTGAAGAAGGTGCACGACATGCTGGACATCGACGAGGTGGAACGAATCATGGACGAAACTCGCGAGGGCATCGAAAAGCAGCAGGAGATAGACGCCATACTGACCGATGTGCTGACCACGCAGGACGAGGAGGATGTCCTGGCCGAACTGGATGCCCTCGAGGCGGAGGAAGAGCAGCAAAAGACCGTTCAGCTGCCCGAGGTGCCCACCGAGGACCTGCCCACTCCAGACGAAAGCGAAACCGCGGAGGAGCCGGAAAAGACCAAAGCAATCAGCAGCAAACCCAAGAAAGTCCTGGTGGAGGCATAGAACCTAAACTAAAACGAAACCAATGCCATTATTTTGTATGTATATATTGCCGTTTAACTAAATTTTCAATAAGTCCAATGTGAAATACATATTTTAATAGACTACGCTTTGCCTCAGGAAGTGAAGAGAGTCCTGTTTACTTATAGGTTAGCCTGGTCGACCGACGCAAGTCCTCTTTGACCTTGCTGCGCAGCATCTTGTTGGTCTCGTTCAGCTTCTCGATCTCCTCAATGAGCACCACATTCTCCTTGAACAGCTTGTCATACTTCCTCTGCACGGACTTGTCCTCGGCCACCGATTTGTACCGGTCCAGGACATTCTCGATCTGCTTGCGCTGCCGCATAAACTCGTCCCTGACTTCGGCGTCCAAAGTGACGAATCGCTTGAGTTCATCATCGGAGGCGTGTTTGCGGAACAGCTCCTTTACGGCTTTCTTAAGTCCCTCCGCCGTGTTGATCTCCCCAGCCACGTAGTAAATGTCCGAGCAGATGGCATGCAGACACTCCCGCGAAGCCTTGGCCCGATGTCGCTCCGTCCGGAGTTCGGCCACGTTGCTCAGGTACTTGTCCCGCATCTCCTTCAGCTGCAGCTCCAGCTGCACATTGTTCTGGTTGAGTCCCTCCAGTTCCGCCTCCATTTCGATGATGTGCTTGCGCTTGTCGTTAATCTGGAACTCACGGGGCTCAATCTGCGCCTTGAGCTCGGCGATCTTGTGGCCCAGCACCTGTTTGTATTTGTCCAGCTCCTGGTTCTTGTGCAGCAGGTCCTGGATGCGTTTCTCCTTACCATTGATGGCATAGTCCCGGTCGGCAATGTCCTTCTGCAGATCCTCGATGTTACGCATCTGCTTCTGGATGTTGCGTTGGTTTTTATAGTGCTCCTCCTTGAGGATCTCTACTTCCTCCAGCAGATTGTCGATCTCGCGGCTCTGCGACTCGAACTTCTTCTGAAGGACTCCCGCCTTGCCTCGCCACATTTGGGTCTCATTGCGTTCGGTGGTCAACTTATTCTCGTACTCCGTTTGGGTGGCCACCATGTTGCGGTCGTTCTCCAGCTCCACCTCGTGGCAGTACTCAATGAACTCCGACTTCTTGTCCTGCATCTCCTTCATCAGGTCGCGGATCAGCTCCTTGCGCTCGTTCAGTTGCTGCTTGTAGTTGTTCTCCAACGCCTCTACCGTATCCTGCAGCGTGCCCGTGGAGTTCTTCAGCTTGTCCTCGTAGCTCTCGCGTAGTTCCAGCATGTTCTCTCGCAGATTGGTGAACTTCTGGTACTCGATCAGCATCCGTTCCGAATACTGCGTGGCCAGAGTGTCCAGTTGGACGCGATGATCCTCCCGTATGGAATTGATCTGGAACGTGATGAGGTTCATCTCCTCCGTGTGCCGCGCCTCAATCTCGTTGTTCAACTCCTTGAGCTCCTCCAGCGCTGCGCAGTAGCTCCTGTGCACCTCCTGCAGCTGCTGGCCGTCGAAGATCTCGTTCTGGCTCAACTGGTACTGGAACTCCTCCGCCTGCTGCTTCAATCGCAGCTCCAGATTGGCAATCTGTTCGATTTTATCGTTGAGTTGACTGCGCGGTATCAGCACCTCCTGGCTGCGCATCAGGTCCTGATCCATGTACGCCACTTTGCCCTCAATGTTGTCCATTGCCCAGATGGCCAGCGTTCCCTTGCTGGAGATGGCAAACAACAGACTGCCATCGTAGGAGAAGCGCAGTTTGTTAACCGGTCCATCGAAGAATCGGAAGTTAGTGAAGGTCCCTCCTCCGGCCTCCAGAAAAGGCAGCTGCATGTTGAACAGATTCCCCTCATGATCGGCCACAAACATTATTAGGTCCGATCTGGCCAGGCATATATCGGACACCGATCCCTTGGTCCTCGATGGAATCGTTATCTCCCTCACCAGCGTGGAGTCCTGGAACTCACGGATCGTTCCAATGCTAGTGCCCGCGAATATCGTCATTGGATCGTTGGTGCTGCAGGAAATGGTCACATATTCGGTGCCCTTCTGCACGATCTCCTGCAGTCGCGCCCCCGTCTCAATGTCCCACAGATAGATGGCACCCTCCGCTCCGCCGGAGATCAGGAACTTGTCCGTCCGTGACCAGGCCACGGACAGCACAGTGCCGTTGTGGCCCTTCAGGTTGATCAACACATCCAGTTTGTACACCGAGGTGACGGTTATGTTGTTGTCATAGGCGGCGGCCATCATATGTCCGAAATTGGAATAGCGTACCGCATTGCAGTGCGGAAAATTGTAGGTCTTGACAATCTGGGGTCGGGATTAAAAATGTTTTATGGTCTAGAAATGGTTATATTAGGAAACTTTTGCATTTTAAAGCTAAACGACAACTTAGTTTAAATGTTACGGTTTTAATAACAATGAGGAATTTTGAGGAGTTTGGTTTAAAAAGCATTTAAGACACGAACCTCAGCCAACTGATAAAAAATATTTATTTTTTTATTAAAAAATTGTGATTTTAAACTAGTTAAATGCCCTTTAATTTACAAGACCACTGTACACTAATAATGTAATATAAATAAATCATTACTAATGGTGTAACACAAATAAAATAATTGTAGGCATAACATAGATATTGGAAAGTAAGGCTAAAAAAATTTTATAAATAAGCTAAGCTTTTAAAATAACCAAAATACAAATATTTAGTATAGATCAGAAAACTCACATTGAGGTCATCCATGAAGATCTGGGTGATGCGCAGCTGGTCCGAGAAGCCAATGGCAGCCATTTGGCCAGTTAAACTTAACTCCACAATATTGACATCCACTTGGAATTTGCGCACCAGCTCGACTACTGCCGTTTCATAGTTCCAGATTCGGATGGTCTGATCCCTGGCTGTCTCATGATTATAAATAAGATTAAGAAGAGAAGTAGAAGAATTAAATCCTACTTACAGGCAGTCATGATGATTGGTTTCCAGGCGCACACAGACATAGCGATAATTTCTCCGGTGTGGATAAGGACTCCAAGCGGTTCAAACTTTAGCTGCTTGGTTTTCAGGGTCTCGGGAACTATGAGAATGCCCACATAGATCTGAGAGTGGGACGTAGTCACTATCACAGTTTCCTGTTTGTGATCGATGGCCAGATTTTTGATCTGATACATATGCTCTGCATACAGATTTGTGGGCACCGTCAATATGGTTTTTCTCTCGAACTTGAACTTTGACACTCGCTCGAAGACAAAGGCCCTATTGAAGATGATGTAGGCGAATCCCTTGGGGAAAGCGGTCATGCAGAGGACTCGGCTATCCGGTAGACTAACCGCTTGGGTGGGCAAGAATCGTTGGTCCTGCAGCTCCTTGTCGCGATCAAAAACCTCCTGGTCGATCATCAAGTCCACAGTGTCCGCATCGCTTGCCTTTTGCGCCAACTTCTGCTCGCCGTTCTCCACCAAGATCAATTGATCATCCGAAGTGCCCACCATCAAGAGATCCAGCGAGAGGAAGGCCATCGAGGTGACCCTATATTTGACCTTTAGGTTATTGCTAATACTAAATCCCCGCTCCGATTTACTCATCAGCAACAGTGTACGTTCCCCGCCCACGGCCAAAAAGCTGCAATCACTCGGATTACCAGCAATGCACTCGGCACCACCATGTGACCCTGGGATCGTGCCTCTTCCCTCAATCACTGTGCTGGTCTTATCCAGCACCAGCATGATGAGCGTTTCCTCCGGCGGGCGGGTAATCAAGGCCACCGACCTCGAGTCATTGGTAAAGATCATCTGCTGGATCTCGGCATTGCGGTGGTTGCTTGGCAGCTCCAGGTGACGACGCTTCTTGAGGGTGGCCAACTCATAAATGGATATGTAGCGACCACTAAATGGGAATAACGAGAAAGTTTATTTATGTTATAAAATGGGTGAATGTGTAAAAAGAAGTCTTTCAGACGCTGCTACTGAATCCAAGGGTTAATGGAGCAAAATATCTATTAGAAAGAGATTTTTATGAACATTAAAGTCTATAAAAAAATTTTCTGTAGGTAGTTAAATTTTTGAAATTGAAGGCTTTCTGACGCTGGTAGTAAAATCATGGGATTAGACATATAATTATTAGATTTTGATAGCTAGCGAGTTCTTGGAAAATTTTAAGTTTTCAAACGATTTTCTTTCGTTCTAGCTTTTCTTTTGACTTCAACTTTTTAAACTGTTTATAAAAAACTTTTTTTTTTGAGAAATATGAACATGTTTCCTAAGTTCTTACTTCTTTGAATGCCTTTCCAGCACCGCCAGCAGTTTGCGATGGGAACTTATGGCTATCACTTCGGGGCGCGTATCCTCTGGTAACCTGTAGGCTTACAAATGCAGTTTTAATTAGCATTCACATACGCAGAGTGAAAAGGACGCACCTCAAGAACCTCTGCTTGTTCTGGACATAGTCGTGGAACGCCAGGACTCCCTCCACCGGATAGATGACCTCCTTGGTGAGGTTGAAGTGGATGTTGCCAATCACATCCGACCGCAGACCGTAAATTAGCCGTGGCCTTATCGCCACCGTGCTGTTGGTCAGCGAGGGTCGCTTCACTTCCTCCATCCTTACTGGTTGTAATACAAAATATAAATGCACGCGGGTCGGGGCTTACAATTTTAGCTGGCAGACAGACAAACTGGAGGAACTGAAATTCGATCAAACAACCTGGGGGGAATCGTCAGGGAACTTTCTGCCCTGCTCCCAGCGACAGCAAACTCCATGGCATCCGGAAAGTGAAAGCCCTAACAACACCAAGTTTTCGGAACCGGGGGATGTGGACTCTATTCCAATTTGAATCTGTACTGAGCCGCGAGCGTTCATGAATAAGTAATTAAACGCTGCTAAGTATGCTTTTAATTTAAACCCTTAGATGCGCAGAAAATTAAGTGGAGTGGGGTAAAAGCTAAGCGCTTGGTAAAAACAACATTGAAATTTCCGCTGAAATTGGCGCTCGTTTCCTGGCCAAGAATAACAAAAGCCACACCGCCGCACTTGAACTCTGCCAATGCGCTTTTTCGCTGAATATGGGACTATCTGTTTGTCTGTCTGTCAGCCAGTTAGTCACTCAGTCACTCAGTCAATGAGTCAGTCGGCCATTCGACCCCCAAATATTGTGTCATCCCCCGAAATCCCCTCAAATAGTTAGCGGCAATCGTCTCCTTGGCGCAGCGAACACGACCTAACACAAGGAATTGTTGGTTAAAGAAAAGCTGCTCGGCCTCTCTTCAGCTCAAGCCCTCTTGAAAAGGGGGCAAAGCTTTTGTGTCCACAATCCTACAAGTTGGCGATGCCAACAATGGTTCGGACTCAACCAAATGGGAATTAACTTGGGAAGGGGAATGTCTTGATTAATGGTTTCCTTTTCAGACAACACAATTTTCGGTGTGTAAAATATTATATTGGAATATTGCCTTTAAAGATGATGCAAAATATGAGAATATATTCTATACTTAAGTAGGCGATTGTAATTTATTTATAACACTGGAAAGTTTAATTTAGGGATTAAGTGTATTGAATAAAAAAGATTTTTAAAAATGATTTTAAAACTTTATAAACCTATATAACCTATTTATGTAAAATATAATATAAAGCATAATAATAATAAAACTTAATTCATTTTCAGGGATATCAGAAATTTGGAAAAAGAACTACTTATATAATTATTAAAATTAATATTGCTTGGAAATGGTTTAGTTATTATCTTAAAAATCCTAAAAGGCAAGTCTCCTTTTTAGTTGCAACATTTTACAGGTTAAATAATGCGTGGTTGAATCGTTGAAGTATTTTATCGAATGTTAAATAAATTAATCAGAATGCCTCCTTTATTAGCTATAAAATTGCCGAATGGGTATTTCCATTCCGTGCACCGCTGGCATGGAAAGCTTTTCCTCTCTCGCCGTTTTGGTTCAGCTGAGTTCAGTTTCGTTTTCATTTTCGGCTGTCCATTTCAGTAGTAGTTTTCGCGTCGGCCGCAGCACAACGAGCAAACGGAAACCGGAAACGGAAGTGGAAGTGAAAAAGTCAGTGGCTACAAAGCACAGTTAATCGGGCTGTGAACCGAAAGCAGTCAACAGACAACTGGGAACTGGCAATTGAGAACTGAGAACTAAGCGCAGTGAAGTGTTTGCTTTCGGCGTTATCATTGGATGCACGCGTTACCAGCTCTGATTGCGACTAGGGATCGGGTCAGGGATTGGGATTGGGATTCATATACAGATTCAGGACCACGGACGAACGGAGGAGGCGGAGAGCCGGAGAGGCGTGTCACTAGCAGGTGACTGAGCCGGTTAACCACAGTCCGACGGCAAAAAGTAAATAAAAACCCACTTGTAAATTGTGTGACAGTGCAAAACCTTTGAGAGCTTAACTGTGTGTGTGTTGCTGAGTGTTTGGAGAGTGCCGCGAGCGTTAAAACTGTTGTTTGTACACAGCCACAAAAGACGTTAATAACATTTAAATGTTTTGAAACTACTTGCTTTTAAAATAAAGAACACATTACGACATTTGACATTTAAGCAAACTTTAGGTATATCACTAGGGCTAACTACGCCTACTGCACATATAAAACCTAGTTACAAATAAATGGCATCGTTATATTTTTGTTTCAAGCCAGGGCATTCGTTTCTAGAATTTGTTTAATAAAATTGTATTTTACAATTTTAGAACGTCTTAAAATGTAATTTTTTTTTAAACAAAAATATAAATGATTTTTTCTCTGCTTTTATTTTCTGTGTAAATATATATGTTTGTGTATTTGTGACAGTCGCTCAATTAACACGGAAAAGTTCCGACTCCTTTGCGGCTTTTCTCAAGACGACGAATGAATTTTAAGCCAATTAAATTGCAAAAAAGAAAGAACGCTAAGTGAGATGAAAAAGTAAATGAAATGAAATGGAAAATGGCCTAATGGACTGAACTCTGTCAGTCACAACCTGAAAAGCAGAGCAGCTGTGGCAATTAAAAAGTAATTTTAATGCTTCTGTTCAGTTTGTTTGCGAAAACAATCAACGAATTTACAATTAACCTGGGTATGTTTGAGTTTTTGTGTGGGTTAATACAACGCCCTTGCACCGCTGTGAATCTTTTTCATCTTTCCTCTCTCAGTTCCTTTTGTTTTATTTGGCCATTGGATGCGTAGCAAGTCGCACGTAGTACGTTATTATAAACAAATCGTTTCCAGCACAGGGGACTATACTCATGTAGTCATGAACATATAAATATATATCCGCACATTCACCGCAACTAGAACAGGTCAAATAAAAATCGGATCGGCGGCAAAATGCCCGGAAAGAGTAAATGTTCATTTTAAATTTAAATCCGTCGCAACCACACTCGCCGCATTGCGTGCATTGCTCCACCATGTGGCAGCGTGTCTAGATATATTTGAGTATATGCACCCATTTCTATATATATTAGCACGATTTGTTCTCGGTATTTTTGGACTCGCGCGAAGTCGAGCAAAATGCCGCAGAGTTTGACCGATTAAAAATGGAAATTTCTTCATCGCCGAAAGTTGTTTGTGTTTTTTAAACGATATGCTAATAAACGAGATCAATTTGTAAATGAATAAGAAGATATATTAAAACAGCAGGGATGCGTTAAAAAAAATGTAACCAGAAAGAAAACAAAACAAAAAAACATTAAAAAAGAATATTTAAAAATAAACAAATTTTAAAAACGATTCAATAGATTAATCTTTACAAATCGCTTTGTTTATAACCTTAAGTGTGTTATTCGATAAATAACATTATAAAACAGAAAATAAATATATAATTCTATTACTAAATCTTTGTGCACAAAGTTTTAAATAAGCGATGACCACTCGTAGTGTAAAAAAAATCTATTTAAAAGAATAATTTAATTTACGGGCTTATCAGAATGATCATTACTCAGAAATAAATTTTTAGTTAAAATAAAACACATTTGAAAAAACTATTTATTCACGTTTAAATACATATTTTCTTTAAGATTCTATTTTAAAATAAGTTTTGTTTACTTTTACTTCATATACATTTTTTTTTTGTTCTGGAAAGTTAACCATTGTCTGAGATTGTATAAAGGTTTATTATTGTTTTTAAGTTTCAAACTTTCTCATAGGGATTCGCACAGGCAACACCAATATAAGACTGAAAATTCCTGTGCAGAGACTAAAATTTTGTCATGTTAAGCTTTCATTATTGAAATTACCTTTTTGTCAGCTCCCTTCCTCGCGAGCTTTAAGCTGAAAGAAGTACTCAATTAAAGCCAACTTTAGCCTGCCATTTCGCGCTTAATTTTTTATCATCATTCTCGGCAGCTTGCATCCTGCTTTTCCCTTTCTTTTCTTTTTCTCCACAATCATCCTTTTCCCATTCTTTGCTCCCAACAGAGCTGCTGAAAATCTCGCCGAAATTGGAGTCAAGTGTTTTCCCTTATTTTCTCTAGACTTTCCTTTTTTGTTTTTACAGCCAGGACATAATAGCATGTTGCCGCCTTTTCATTCGCCTTCTCTTTTTCCCTACATTGTTATACACACTCACATAGGTACTCACACACGTACAAATCTATACTCCACACTCGGCGAAAATACCTTTACTTTGGTATATCAATTTCAAGAATTTGATTGAATTTTTTGCTTTAAATCTTATTGATACGCAAAGACCATGTTTTCCTAGAAATTTTAAAAAAAGGGTTAAACCGTAGATAACATTAAAACTTTATATAATTTTTAAGATCTTCTTGCTAAACTTCTTAAAAGCGTAGTGAACGCGGATCAATGTTTTTTCGTTGATTTGTTACTTTGTACAATATTAAGATATTTTGAAAATGAAAAATATATATATAATGAAAAATAATATTACTCATCCGCCATGTTGGCTTACAGTTATAGTCATTCGTATTAATGTCAGCATAGCCAAATGAATTTTGAGCAGTGTGCACCGGTGTAAAAGGTTGAGAGCGGCACACAAGCCTTTTTCCGGTTTTTCCCATTTTCCTATCGTTCGCCGCTTTTGGCTTTCGCCTTCAATTGAAGCGGCTAAGTTGACCTTTTTGTTAATAGTGCTCAAACACCGCTACACGCGGATACCAATATGTTGGAATATATGGCGAGGGCGCAATGTCTGCGCAAGGAATTTGATGTTGGCACAGCTGATTGATTTATTGTCTGCCCGGCTGACAATCCTGAGTCCGCCAGTTGGCAGCTAAGCCAAACAGTGCCGCAAAATACCAAAGGAGTCTCAGCGGCGCACCGTTTGCAATAAAAAAAAATTATCCACCGAAGCTCGGTGTGTTTTGTGGGTGTGGGTAAGTGTGTTCGCTTGTGTGTTTATCCGGCTGCAAGTGTGAGTGCCCGTGTGCATGGGACGTAGCTATAATTAAGAGCGTTGGCGAAAGCGAAAGCGACAGCGCGTACTAGCCGCCATTTTCATTTTACGATAACTGCTTTCACCTACTTATTTGCCATTGCGGGAATGCATGCACTCGCTCCTAATTTTCACACAATTCCAAACCTATTTTACCACTTACCTGTCTTCCCGCCGACAATGCGTCACCACCACTTGGGTCCTGTTTAATTATTCCCCCCTGCAATTAAAAATTTGGTTTTTGACTTTTTAAATTTTCTATTTAGTTTCAGGGGCGGCTAAAAGTATTGGTCCTGTCTGCCATAAGTTAAGCTTTTCTAACGTTTAACCACTTATCACATACTGCTTTATTTGTATAAGAGTTTTTGATTATTCTTCATTTCTATTAAAATCTTTCTTCTCTCAAATAAATTTTGTATTTTTAACAATTGTTACTTATAACAATTTTGTCATAAATTTTGTCTCTGGAACTCCAGTGTAATTTGTAAAATGGGATTTATGTTTTTGCATTATTTCTTTTTTCACCTTTACAAGCCACATTACTTTCACCTTAAATATTTCAGCATCTGTCGACTCCTTGCTTCGGTTTTATTTCTCCCCTTTAATGAAATTTTTTACTTTGGAATTTGTAAATGTAATTTATTATTCAAAAAGCTGTCATTTTTATGCAACTGTGTTGGCATTATCCCGTGTATCTTCCCACCATGCCTTCGTTTTTTATTATTCCTCCCTTAAATGAAATACTCAGCCTCGGAATTTTTATATTTAATTCCTTATTTACTTCGTTTTGCGTTCAAAAATTATCATTTAAATTGTAAAGCGTGTGCTCACTCATTACACATTCTCTCATGTCTGTTGATATCTTGGCCAGAAAGCCCGAAGCATGCCAAAGTGACGGCCAAAAGTTCTTAAACTTTTAGGGGTCGCTCAACCAACAAAAATGAGACATAAATGCATAAATTTAATGAGTATCGAGCGGTTGCCCGTGGACGGTCAAGGGTAGCATATAAAAGTGGGGGGTGTGGTCAGTTCCAGACTTTCAGATGTGGACAAGAGTGTCCAGGCAGTCTCTATTATCTTCGGACAATGACAGCTGCTAACTATAGTTATTTACTTAAGTGGAAATGGTAATTTTTTCTTGGATAAGGCTGAGAGTAATGTATTAAAAGATTATCAGTCACTTAAGGACAAGGCCAGGAAAAATTCAGTTTTAACGACTTTTAAATGCCCTAGACCTTATAAATTTTATACTTTTTGTTGTCACAATTTGATTATGGCGCAGTTTGTCAAACTGTTAAACTTCGGCCAACTTTTGTGTTGGATCATTGGACCATAATCAACACATTGAATGTAATGGTACAGATTTGTCGCAGGTCCCATCAGGACTTTTTCTTTTCAAAGTTGGCCATAAAAAAATGCGTCCTTTTTTTTACAGTCGTTTGATGGCAATTTTCCCAATTGGTTCTCTGAGCAAGTGAAATCGACAACGGTCCTCTGGGCGCCGTATTCCCTTACAATGTCAATAAAAATAAATGCTGAAGCCGCTTGTAACATGTTATTGGTTTACTTTTGTGAAAAGCGCAAAATCAAAGTAAACGGTGCCAATAAAAGAGTCTAAAATGTATACCGACAACAGGTTGGGGGAAAAACTAGCATGGTATCGCAAAAACACGGACCACACATGTTAACCAGATAGTTTCCAGTCGTGCATGCTAATCGAAAATCCGAAAACACAAAGGCAGAATTCCCACAAAACACACGCATGATCGGGGCAATCCACAAATTGAATTGTCTGGTGCAGATGAAACATGGTATGAATATGGGATTATGTATAACACATTAGGTATGCATTGTGTGTGTGTGTGTGTGTGTGTGAGGTTAGTGTTGGTAGTGTGGAACTAGGTAAGGTAGCCCACGTGGCGTATGCGCAATGCCAATTAAAATCAAAAGCCTGGCCCCAAAAAGTATGCAGCATATAATGTAATTGGATTCGGTTTCTGTTTTCTTTCGCTTCGATCTGGTTAATGAATAACGAATGAGTCGTATTCGCTTAATTATGATTGAGTTGAGAACACAGCTCATTATAATTAATGTAAATGTTGAACATTCACCTACATATAGTTAGCCGTGTAGTTTTTGCACAAATATATATGCGCATATTTTGCCGCAGGCCATTAATGCCATTCTGATTTATTGCAGCCTCCTCTCGGCCAAATACACTGGGCCACAATTAACCGCATGCCATAGCCGCAGTGAGGAAAAGCAAATACCAAAATCAAAACAGAACCACTCGGTGAATGAAGGGAGAACAATAACCGGAGAAAGACCAAAGGTGGAGTAAAATGCGGCCTAAATGCTTTGGCAATTATGCCAATGTTGTTAACAAAATACCAAATGTATCAAACTAAGTAAAGGCGACAGCGTGAAGCCGCAGGAATTACAAAGGACCCAGGAGCAAGGACCAAGGACCAAGGGATTGGCGACGACAGGTGGCAGGTGGTCGCTTGGGGCCTTTTCCTTCAATTCATTTCGTACAGGCCCGAAAACATCCCCTTCGATTGCCGAAAAGCAACAGAGCTCAAATTTGAAACCCAACCCAGCCAGCCAGCCACTAGCCCCAATTGAAACCTCAATAGAAATACAAACGGAAGCCGAAACAAAAACTCACTTAGGTTGCCATCCAAATCAACGGCTGTCAGACAAAAAGTCGCTTTTTATTGATTTTTATAAAGCCAAGCAGCAACACCAAAAGCAATGAACAGCAAAAAATAATAACACAGGCCGCAGGAGCAGAAACAAAATAAAAATAATAACAAAAACAAAAACAAAAACAAAAAGCGAACGCAATGTGAATAATTCCCCAGTTCAACCGAAGTGAGCACGAAACAGAAATACTGTTGGAATAGGAATATTCCTCACCCACACTCCCACAGCCCCATTTTTCCCCCGTCCGCCAGGATCTCCCACTATATAATAGCCTACTATCGGAACGTTCATCAAATGCGATTCGATTTGATGACGTTTCAAGCAGGAGACACCGGAGAGACGGACGCACACGGGGCCCCATAAAAATGTGTTATAAAAATACACACGCATAAATTTCTGCCCTACCACCCTACCACAAGGACATAAATATATCAAAGCCAGGCAGGGGCAAAATTTAATGCAAATGTCATTGGAAAAGTCAATTAGCAGGAAAGCTAACGAAAAGAGCGGAAATGCTGCAGCTGCACAATTGCAAAATTGAAAATTGATTACGAGTACAAGTACGAGGCACACAAACAAATAAAACGGGAGTGTGGGGCAAAACAGCAAGACTGATTTTAGTTTAGTTAGATTATTTTTAAAGCAACTATTTTGTGAGGAAAAAAAAAACAGAAACTGCAACAACGAATTAGCCAAGCGGAAACCCTAGGAAAACAAAAAAGGAGAACCGACCCGCCCACAGAGAAAGCAAGGGAAACCGGCAACCAAGCAGCCAAGCAGCTAAGCAGCCAAACCAACTAGGGCAACAAAAGCATCGACATCCCCAACGAAAAGCAAACGGATTCATACGAAAGCATGTTTGTGTTCATAGCTGTGCTGTTTGTTAACGCTTGCCTAGCGGGTAAGTACCAGATCCCCACTACCAGAATTTAGGGTCGTAAGCTCCCTCGAACAAGTCGTAATGATATGCAGCAACAATGTTGCAGTGGGTTACCCAAGCCAGCTCAAATTGTCGCCATTTATGTACACAAATTTACTAGAGTTTCGTCAAAGGTTAAGTTTACGATTTTAACTACTCAGTTCTACAAATTTTCTTGAGTGTAGGAAAGTTAGACAAAAGAATTTATCGGTTGTCTAATTCAAACTAGAGTTTATTTTTGGATATGTCTACCAATATAAATATTAAGTACATATCGCCTCAGGAACGAAGCAAAGAGTGGAGTGAAAAAGAATTTAGGTCACCCAATGACCATGTTTCATTTATTGACTTCTAAACTTTTGTTAAATATACAACTTTAAGATGTTCCCTGGAATATAACATATACACATTTTTGATATTTTTAAGTGTCTTGACTCAGAAAAGAGATTTTATCGCCTGAGTTTAAATAAATACAGGTTAATTAGCATATAAAATAAATATGGTACTCTAGCGGTTTCATTTATTGACTTGTAAACTTTTGTTAAATATATAACTATAAAATGTTCCCTGGAATATATCCACCTTTATTGATATTTTCAAGTGTCTTGAATGAGAAAAAAGATTTGATCGCATTAGTTTAAATAAATACAGGTTAACTAGCATATAAAATAGATATGATACTCTAGCGTTGTGTAAATTATTTTAAAAAATATCGTTTTGTATTAATTAAAGATATTTATTTATTGGCAAATTTACCTGACTTTAAAACAAGGCATATTATTTGAATAATTTAAACTTAAATTTATGTTTATTCATTAGCTAAGCCAACATAAAAGATTAAAATAGGTTCACCATAAATAAGTTTCCGTCATTGCTGGACTAGAATTCAAGCCAATAGAAATCATTAATCAACAAATGGCTTTCAACACGTCCGACTTAGAAATTTATAATATTGGTTTATCATTTGCTTAATTTAATTTCTAATAACAACAATTTCGCTTAAGGCAATGCTTAAGAACATGACTATAAAGCTTATGAGACCTGATTTAATTATGTTATTTTTATTGATTGCCCAAATATTTATATAAAAATAAAAAATACTTTTATATACATAAAACAAAAGCGGGCAAGCCGAAGACAATAAGTCATCAAAATGTTTTCAAATGTTTTACATTTCATTTGCATAAATGTAAATTAGAATTTCGTTAAAGACCATGCTAAGAACAATTTTAAGAACAAAACGTATAAATATTGGCTATTAAATTAATAAAGAAGTTTGTCTTTTACCGAAAATTGATAGCAACTAAAAAGTAAAGTTCATAATTATTAGGAAGAAAGAAAAAGTGGGTACACAAGGCCATACACAAAAAATCACTGCTCCATCTGGTCAATTGATAAAAGATTGACAGCTGAATCAGTGGTAATCTTCTTATTGGGCCGAGAAGACTTGAGGAAAATCCATAAAGCTCCTAAATTTATGAGACAACTTTAGTGCTGATGTCTTTACGATGCGGCTTTGGACAAATCCAGTTAATTCCCCCGACGCATAAACTTGGCTAGTGCCCGTAAATTATTTTGTATATACTATAAGCATTTACAGCGATAATGACATAATAACTAGCAATTATCGTTATAATAGGCACCATTCCGGCTACGCCAGAGAACATAACCGTTACGTTTCTGACGCCCACGGCGGTCCGAGTGTCGTGGCAGACGCAAATCGATCTGAAGGCACATCCCATCGAAAAGTACATCGTGACGTACAAGCCGACGGATGACAGGTAGGTACCACAAACAAAGCTAGAACTCAATCCGCTGGGCCACTTGACTGCCTAAATGACGGTAAAGCACACTTACTTACCATCCAACTGACTGACACAAAAGGCTTTGAGGTTGGGCGGTTTTAGTGCACGGAAAAAAAATTTAGTTTAATTTTTTCTTCGCCATTTTTTAATTTAATGCGATTTGGATGTACATTTTTGCACTTAATTTAATATCGGTCGTGCTCCAATGTACTATACGACCGTACTGGGGTCGATGATTTTGAATAGAGGGGCCAAACTAAAATATTGAAACTATTTTTTAGTTTAGTTTGTCTTTGCGTCCCCTTTAAATTTTCCGATGTATAAATAAATAATTAATAATAAGTAATTTAAATTTATATTTAATTTAATTTATACTGCCTTCAAAGTGGCAAATAAATCAATATTATTTCTTAACAAGTAAGGAAGCAAACTTCGGCAAAGTTTAAAAATGACATTTTTTTAAAACATCTAAATCTAAAACATTTTAAACATATGCAAATATGTTGAAGAAAATTAAAGCAACGATGATTTTCACCTCAATTGTTTGATCGTTCGTATGGCAGATATATGAAAACCTTTTTGAGGTAAATAAAATAAAATGCGTTAATCTAAACAGTTAAACCATTACTTTGTCCAAATAAAAATTTGGCTAAAAAGTCAAAATTAGATAAATTACAATTTCTTTTTTTTTTAATTTTGTTTGCATGGGAGCTGCTCAAATTTTAACCGTAATAAAAAATAATAAACCATCATTAAATATAGAAGAACTTAAAAAAAATTGAAAAATAACAAAGTTATAATTTTTATTTAATTATTTTGTTCCTATTAGAGCTATATGAGCGTAGAATTTTTCTCCGTGCAAGACAATTGCAATTGCATTTATGCAGAGTCCGAGCAAACAAAAACAATTCTGCCTGCAAATGACGGACAGTGGTATGAGTTTGTGGGTAAAAGCCTAGAGTCTAGGGGCTTCAGCGGGACGGGAGGCGTGGCAGCGGTCAGTCAAGAGCACTGTCTGCTCGCATAATTGTGTGTGTGCGCCTGCTTGAGGCTTGTGCTTCTGCTTCTCTGCTTCTGTGCTTCTATGCGAGTGCCATTGCGAGTGCGAGTGTGTTTGCTTGGCCATGAGCTAAATAACGGCCCAAGTTAAAGTAAACCGAGCTAAGGGAGTGGGTGGGAAAACCCCAGAAGCAGAAGCTACAACACGAAAATGGGAAACTTAGGGCGACTGCAGGAAAGAAGAAAAACAGAAAAACAAAAGCCGCGTGTACTTGGAGTCAAGTTATTTAAAACAAAGGCGAATATTGCGAATTTTGTACACAAAGCGTGGCCAACTTCCCGAGAAGTACAGCTGAAATTTAAATTATGTTGCCTTTCCCAAGCTTTTCCCATGTTAAGCAAAAGTTTTGTCTATCGTTTTAAGCCTATAAAATTTTCCAAGAGTTCTCTTTATCCTTATTGACCTCAAAGTGAGATTTAAGCCTTTCCAAGGCACATTAAATTTAAAATATTTTTTGAGTTAACGAGTTTTTAAGAATATGCCGGTTTTTACACAGATTATTTGAGTTACTTGTTCAAATTTACCAAAGCGATGCATTTTAAAAAATGTATTTTTAACATAACATAATCAAAAATATAATATGCTTAAAAATCAAGTCTTAAAAACATATTTCAGATATGGTCAATGAACTGTTTAAGTGTTTTATTTATTTAATAATGTTTCATCAGGGAAATAGAGTGCACCAGAGTAAGAAGAGCACCATTAAACATAAGGTAGTTCAAAGTTTAGAAACTTCCTTCGAGCAATATTATTGCCACTCAATTAGGCGCGATTTACGGTGAACTTGAGTTGTGAAAAGTTCGAGTTGGGTAAGTTTTTGCCAGCATATAACCGTTGGCACTGCCACATTCTTGAACAGCAAGCACACATATGTCAGGGACTTTGCGACCGTGCCAGTTTCAGTTAACTCTCTTGGCAATATTCTTGATGATTTACCGAAATAATGCAGCCCAGTTGCAGCTGTTTTGCCTGCAATTTACCATCTTTCCATTCCCATTTGCATTGCCACCTCCACACATCCCATCCTTGGTGATTGCTATTTCTCATCGCCATGTTTGTTGCGTGGCAACCGGAAGAGAAGCAGTTACCCATCCGAACACTGGAAAAAATGCTTTAATTCTTAAGTTTTGCACACAGTTTTGTCTTTTTTATTCTATTGTAAAAAAAATATTTTGTTTTTGTCTATTATATCATATTTATCAACTGCGTACTGATGTAATATCCATAAATATAAATATATACAAAAACAAGTATTATAAAAATAATTTTTTTCTTAGTCCTACGTCAATACAAATGGTTTTCTGTGATTTGTTGACCCATAAAAACCAATATTTCAATGTCAGTTTGGCACGTTCTGCAATTTAACCAGAAAATACAAATTACAAATATCAAGCAGGAACAGATTGAAATGACAAATTATATTTCTTAAAGTAAAGCATTGGAATCTATTATCATATTTATTGGTGCTAGGAAAAGCGATTTTTTTCAAGGTCACACGTTTAGATTTTAAAAATGTCTCAACTTAGTTTTGACAATATTTTTGTGCAATCTACAGCTGCCTGGCATTTTCAAATTATCAACAGATCATCAATCAAAATGTACAATTGGTTAAATGAGACTTAAAATTGTATTAAAAATGGATTTTTGAAAATGAAATTGTTAATTTTAACAGGGAATATTAAGTGTTTTGCATCAATAGCTCTCATTTTTATGCAAATTTCGAGTGCATGTTTTCGCCGTGTACTGATGGGAATGAGATGGGCCGAATGGCTTGCATATTTTGCCAGCAAACTAAGCACTTCCGCTCCGTGTTGGCCAAGTCCAAGTGGCAGCCAGTTTGGCCCGTTCGCGATGCCATGGAATGCCGTCCGTGTAATAAGTTAAGTGCTCGGCTTTTGTGCCTTTTGACTGCAGTCCGTTGCCGACTGTTGGCCAAGGTGTTTTTCAATTTAATGGCCCGTTTTGCGTGAGTGTGTGTGTGTGTGTGTTGGCCATTTTCTGTTGGCTGCATGAGCGTGTTTTGTCCTTTACTGCCCGCCAATCCATTCCAACGCCAAGCCTTTTTGTTGTTCTTACTACCGCTCTTAACCCGCTCTTCTATAAAGTTCACGCCTATGTCAAAAATTTTATTACAAAACTTGGGTCCTTGCTGGTGTTTTTTCGGTAGTTGCCTCGTTCGTTTGGTCATTATTTATTAGTCAGTTTGTTTTTAATTTTTGTGTTACTTTCCTATCGATTTTTGTTGTATTACATACTTCCGACTGCCAGTCATTATGGTGGGCGGTTGGCGGTGGTTTCCCTGTGCTCTATCTTCCTGCCGTTTTTCGAGTAAATTGTGCCCGTGAATAATGTATGATTTGTACATAGACACGTTGACGGTAAGTCGGCTCGAGCTTTGGCTTTGGCATTAGCTTGGTCCTTGCCTTGGACTCGAGCTCCCCGACTGGAATAGACTTTTGTCCTAGACGTTTCAGACAGGTACACAGATATGCCCGAACACACATCGATATCCACGTGCTTCTGCACAGTGAGAATTTTTCAAGTTACAGGACTGCAAAGCCTTTTCTTAATCTTGAGGAAAAAAGTACAAAAATTATATTATATACATTTGTATATGGTAAAATATTATATTTTCAACCTAAAGTAAAAAGGTATAGGTTTATAAAAAAAAAGAAATTGCCATTCAAAATTAAAAATCATGATGTTGCTGTTAAGTTTACCTTTAATGTAGCTTACAAGTATTGATTAAATATTGATATACTCTTTCAGATGGTTTTATAATTTTAGTCAGAAGTTTGCAACGCAGTGAAGGAGACATTTCCGACCCTATAAAGTATATATAATCTTGATCAGCATCACTGGAACCAATCGGCATATTACTAAAAAAAATAAAACAAAAATAAAAAAACTTTCCTAATTTTAACATCAAATAAAAAAAAAATAATTAAGCTGAAAATCATTATGGCTTCAAAATAAAATATTATTTTTAAAGTTTTTCCCCTAAAAAAAATGATTCTTGGAACAAATAATTCTCGAAACATATTAATGTAATTCACAATTTTTGTTTCAATGTACCATGCATGCTCTAAATTGCTAAGTGGATTTATGAAATTCTTGACGAACAATGAGTGGCTGTTGTAGGGGGTGGAGTTCAATACGTCCAAGCATGTCAAGCACCATCAATAACAATAATAATTAATAACAATTACTGTCCCAGCGGAGGAGGGACAGTGGCAGGAGGCGTAAAAGGGGCGGGGCGGACAGGACATGTTCACGTTGCGGACAAGACAATGGCAAAGTGGATGGAAAATCCCGATCAATAGGTAGCCGTGTTCTAGAATTTATTCATTATTGTTATCTGCGTTTTTAGAGTCAATTTGACATTATTAAAATTGAAATGTCAAGGCCCCTACAAATACATACAGCTATAGTTGCTGTGTACTGGCTAAGCGGATGAGATTTGAGTGTTGCCAGCTGTGCTACGTCGTTTTCTCGGATGACAACATAAATTTTCCAGTAAAAACCATAAAAGTGCACAGGCCGCAGTAACAGGAAATCGAATCGAGAGCATAGAGCCAAACATAACGTAAACCTGATTTGTACTTGCCATATAAGCATATAAGCAGGCTTTGTGCTGTTTCCAAGGAATTCCTATATGTGCATTCACTTTTTCCTTCGAAGTAATCTATCCCGCCCATTAAGTCCTTCATTGAACATTGATAGACCTGACCAATGGGGCGTATGCGTATTTTTAATTGAATTTTTAAGTTAATGCAAATGCAGGACGATTGTCACGAAACTCGTTTGGCTGTCGATCAAACTATAAATGGTTAGTTGCATCCAGGAACACATGCTAGCAAAAAAGTAACGTTTTCTGAGACCAGCTCATGTACGTCATAAGGTATTAAATAACATCAGTAGCCCCAGTTGCCTTTCGTGCGAGTACACATTTGTATATTTTGTATGACATACTGTATGCGCGCACTGCGAAGTTTGAGTAACAAATGCGAAAGTTCTGCTGCCCAGCAAGCTAATTTTTTATTTATCAAACCGGAACGAACCGGATAACACTCACAAAAGGGGACATTAAAAAAAAAATGGAAAAGCCGGCCGAATTGCATATTTCCAGCCATATTTCTGAATATGAAATGACTCAAAGCCCACAATCAGGCCGTAAAGGGAAAGGAAAACCGGCGAGAAAATTAGAAACTTCCTTCCTTCCTTCTCGAGGAAATTCGCTTGCATTTCTTTCTGGTCGAAAGGGCAAAGGATCCACCCAGAAAACTACCAGTAAAATTTTAGCCATGGCGTGAGTTTAAATTGTGTATAATGAGCGGCTTTGACGGCGAATTTAATGCCAAACAGTGAGAAAGGCGGTACGAGAGCCGGGTATTAAATTTGATTTTCCCACAGGCGTCGCCACACGATGAAAACTTTAACGGCGAAACTTTAGACAACGTCTGGCCATGTCACATATGGCGGATCGCATCCACCGATGTTTGCCCAAGTCGGCCCAATTCCAGTTGCCCTGCGGCCGCATGTCCTATTGGCCCGCTGCAAATGGATGTGACACATGTGGCTGCTAATCAATTATTTAGCCGCCGGCGCGGGCGAAATGAGAAGAGTTTTTGCGGACCAGCCAGTTGTAAATTCACAATGAGCCGTAAAAAACCCTCTTAAGTCCTTAAATCGTGTCAATTGGTAGTCTTATCATCGGAAATTCGGATTTTTTCAACGTTTCACCTTTTTTCAAATAGCTTTCTTTGTAGGGAGGTAATATTGTGGGACTTTATTCAAATTTTTTTTCGGATTCGATTCGTAATCTCTTTGATTAAATTTTTCAAGGCATTTATTTCATCCTTGTGTTTATTTAGCAAAACCTTTTTACCGCTCGTTTAATCGGATTTCTGTTTGTATGGAATTAACACAAAATTAACAAGATTTTCTTTTATGTAGTTTATCATATCTTTAAGGAAACTTGTAACATAGAAAAAACCTTTCTTAATTAAGTGTATACCGATAAGATCACCAATTAAAATGAAGCATGCTATGTAGCTTAAACAGTGGGACAAACATAATACAAGTATAACTTTTTGAGGAAAAATAATATTTTTGGTAAACATAATGTAAACATATATAAAATATTAAATGCAAATATGGCTTTATATTACGAATCGGGTTCCTGATGTCAGGATCCTCAGAATCCGTCATTTTTGTATGTGCATTGTACATATTAAAATTGGTTATTTTTTAATTTTAATTAAATAAATTTATTTAAATTTTCACTTGACTATAACATGCCTACTTGTTCATTAATTTCATAATTCAAATTAAATACATATTTTTTAAGCAAATACAAAATTTTTTTAACATAATACAATATATTGAGCATATCGTTATATTTATTAGCTTATGTTAAAAGTGGCAATAAGATATAAGTGCATACGAATGTAATAAAAACCTTTTAAATGAAATCGGCTTGCAGAGTATTTAAAATATTTACTCTTCTAATTTTAAAATTTTCTTTAACTACCATAAATGCGTTTTTAATCGCTAGGTTTAAAAATGTTTTTTTTTTTTGCTGAATAATCTAAAATGTCATTTGTAAATATATTATATCATTTTTTTTTAATTCTTTAAATTTACTCCCATAAATAGAGCATAATGTGTTTTTAATCGCTAGAGTTTTTAAATGTTTTTTCAAACAACAAACATTTTTGCATCGTTTAAAATGTCAGTTTAGCTTGTTTTTTAAAATGTCCTTAATTTATTTGCATAAATTAAGAGCTTTAATAGATCGACGAGACGGCAATGTTTAGCTGTGTTTTGTTTTTATAACATTTACGTATGCTTGTTCGACATTGTTGTTTCTTCGTCTGCTGGCGAAGAGCGGTACACTTCTGTGCCCTGTTATTTGTTCGGACATCGGTTCCACTGGGGGCCATTGGGTGGTCTGTGGGGGAGTGTGTTTGTTACATGTATGAATAATGAATCATTTGTCAGGCGCTTGTTGTTGCCACGGCCGTAGTAATAGAAGCCGGTGCACAAAGGCCAGAAGTCTGGGAAACTGGGACACTTTTGCCGCACCACGCACTCGACGCAAGGAACAGGATCGTCGGTGGGTGGGTAATGTGAGCTTCATTGGCAAATCTAGGACATGTTTGTTAACTGCTCAGGCTGTGGCGAAAGTGACAAAGTGAAATATTGGCCAATGGTGTAATTACCAACACGGACCGGCCTCATATTTCACGACTTGAATGTTGTAGTTTGTTCAATTAGCACACACACACACACACAGAGACAGACACACATGCGATTGCACAATCTTCCGCAAACCCCCAACCTCCAGCCCCTTCACCTCCACCCTTTCACCCTTAGCTGCCGTTCGAGAGTGGTAATTGAATTAATTTAAGTTATAGGGTTGTACAGGACGTCGCTGGCAGCAGCGAGGCCATTGTCCTGGATCGCCTGCTGCCCAGCACACAGTACTCGCTCGTTGTGACGGCCATTTGGCAGGGCAAGAAGTACCGCAGCCGCGGTCAGATCAAGTTCAAGACGCTGGGTGAGTACCCCCCGTGGATTTGACTCTTGGCCGCAATCACAATCGTTTGATTTTCCATCCCCTTAGATCTGCCGAGGAACACCTCACAGCAGGACTTTCCGCCGGGTATCTATGGTAATGGCAGCAGCGGCGGTCGCAACGGTAGCGCAAATGCCAGCATCTTCGGCGACGATGTGACCTCCACAGCCACGAACACCCTAACGCATGCAACCACCAGGGAATTGCCCACTGTAAGACTCAAAGATACCCAAAGATCATGTACTAAACAATCCGCACTGCAAATGACAGTTGTTAGCTAAGCAACCAGTTTTAGTATTTAACAGTCTTTAAGAAAAGTTTGCAGTTTATGGTCTATGGAAACTAAAATATATATCAGACTTTTAACTAAAAAATCATGCAGTAATAATAGCCGCAAAATCAACTGACTTTTTCCAATTTGTTGCTTTCTATATAGTCAGGATATTTATTAATATTATTAATGTAGGTAACTCTTGCACACTGAAATCATTTTCAATTTTTGTTCAAAATGTGTATGATTAGGATGTGAGTATCAGAGTATTGTTCAATACTTAACGTATTGAATTTCATAAGTTCTGAATATGTGTAGCTATAAGTCTGCTTATATGGTAGGAAAATACTTTTAGGGCAGTGGTATGCTTATTTCCTATATACTCCACAAATAGGTACTGTAAACTGTAGCAAAACACTGGCAAAAGGTGTTTAAACATTTCGGGAGGAGGGTTACCCTAAGAAATTTACCAGCTAAAACCACAAAATTTAGGCCTTGAAAAGGCGCCATTATACCTACATCGTTATGTGAATTTCCTTGTACAGATACGCGGCGTGGAGATCGGCATCGTCCTGATCGTGCTGATGGTGTGGGCCGGAGCCATCGCGCTGTTCTTCAACCGGTGGGGCAAGATACGGATGCTGCTGCCCTACCAGCCGGACTACAAGCACGAGCAGCTGAAGGTGCCGGGCACGGGAGTGTGCAGTGCCAGCGGATGCAATGGCCAGCACTCGCATCAGGTAAGTGCCACTCGAGGTACCCCAATCCCAGTCCCGATCCCGATCCCGATCGGGGAGGTGGGGACGATGGTTGTGCGGGCCTCTAGGATAACACGGAGCGCTGAGCGTTTGGATTTTTCGCGAAGGAACTTATCTCCGTTTCGTTTTTGTTATGCTTCATTTTTAGAACCTACACCCCGATTTCTTTGTCAAGGTATTCAAAAACAACAAATTCTTCCAACTACTTACTATATACGAAACAAACAAAAATATATTTGCATTTTATTCGCTTTTTTTCTATGCATCAATTCAAGAAAATATTCGACTCCTATTGAACAGTACACTCACAATTTCCTATTTAATCCGTGCACAGCCTAGACCAACCCCATAAAAATAGTCTGAATAAATTCGGAAATTTCCCGAGAATGTTCTAGAAGTTAATTAAAAAATCCTTTCCTATCAACTAAATTCTTCTTTAGCTTTTCTGCTACTTTGTGGTCCGTTTGTGAAATTTGATAAATTGATGGTTGCAGATTTAAAAACTCTGCTCCGGAAAAATATTTAATCCATTTTCCCCGTAGCACTCAGACGTTTTCGACTGTTTCTTCTTATGATTTGCTTGCTAAGATAGCACGTGCTAGTTTCTCATTTGTTTCGGCTTTCATTTCCGTAGGCTTTGGCACTAGTTGTGGGGCATACTCTGTGGATCTAAACAATGGCATATATTCTTTAGCCTTTCTGCAGAGTATGAGGTCTTCGGTCCGCCGAAGTCAACTAGCGAACTCACCTAGATTCATTAGGCTCAGGATGCGCTATGCATATGAGAGCACCTCTAATTTATAACTCGTACTATCCACATTCCATATACATACAGCCGAACTCTTCTAAAAAAACTTGAAGCGATTAATTTTTAATGTCCGATTTCAGTATTTTAATATATCCTTTTACATTAAAAACTTACAGTTTGTTGATTTAAAAAATTAAACTGAGTTGTAATATTAAATATTGTTAAACATTTAAAATAAGTTTAAATACAAAGCTTATTGAATTGCAAGATTTGATATTTAAATAATTAAATTAACATGAAAAATATTGGTCCAATTTTTGTATTTTCTTTTATACGCAATATATGCAATTTAAAAAATAGTAAAATTAATCAAATGTAATATTTTACGAAAATCAAAGACAAAAACATTCAAATATCGAATGTACTCTTTTAAAAAATTTTTGTAGATTGAGGTTTATTTACGAAAAATCGCCTTTGAAGATACATTTTAAAAGCATATGAAATTCTTTAAGAAAAATTCCGTTTAATAATTAAATTTATGAAGCATTTTAAATTCTATAAGAATAAATCATTTCGAAATAATTTCAAAGAAAGTTAATATATTTTGACATAAGCATAAAAACCAAGTTTAAGTTAGAGTTGTTCGCCTGTATTTTTAATGCATTTAGCGATTTTGGTTTTCGGTTTTGAGCTTTGCTGGTCAGGTTGGCGCTTTCCCGAGATCTCACTGACCAAACGTTCCCTACTTTCACTTCGCTCTCGCCTGCTGATCTTGTTCCTGCTGTTCCTGATCCTGCTCCTGCCGCTCTTACCACCGTTGCTGCTGTCGCGATCCTTGCGTTTTTGGTTGGCACACAAACAGTGTTTGCCCCGCTGCGAGGGCTGCGGGCTGTTCGATCGCTGCTTCCAGTATCCGCGAAGGGAGCTGGAGCGCGACTGCGGCTGCCAGTTTGCCCTGCTGCACAAGGCGGACGTGGAGAGCTAGCAACCAGCGCACCGCGAAGCCTCCTCGGCGGCCGTGAGTGCGGCCTCCAGCCACGGACATGGCCATAGCCATAGCCATGGCCATGGCACGCCGGTGAACACCTATGTGCGCGGGCCCAGCGTCGACAATCAGTCGATTGTGGGGGCCAATGTGCTGGAGAATGTTGACAGCGAGGAAGGAGCCCACGGCGACAGGGACATCGAGGTGGAGGGGGACGAAGTTCCGGACAAGGATCAGGAGGACCAGCAGCTGTTGCAGCGGGAAAGGGAGCCGGTCGTCCATCGTATCCTGCCGCTGCAGGCGGGTGCCATCAAGCAGCGGAAGTTCGCCCAGCAGCGCGGCATCCTTAAGAACTCGCAGGAGCGCACCTTCGTCGAGGAGGACGAGGTGCTGGAGGCCAAGAAACAGCTCATCCTGCGCCGCCGCCGCCTCTTCAGTCACTATAGGCAGTACGACCAGTGGCGGCGGCGGCAGTTCAGCTACGACCCCAGTTACTTTCGCCCGCCTCCGCTGCAGCCTCGAGCGCTGGCATGCGCTGATCACCAACTGGGGGCCACCACCGATGCGGCATCGGCGGCATCCTCGGCCAGTGCCGGACGGCGGAGGCGCCAGTACCGCAGGCAGTACTCCTGTGCGGACCGCTCGCGGGAGGGATCGCGCGACAGCCGCGGCTCCTCGACGATGCAGCTGCAGATGCAGAAGTACCACAGCCTGGTGGCCAGCGACACCATCCACACCGAGTCGTCGGTGCTCAACCACAGCAACTACAGCGAGCCGGTCAGCGTAAGTCAGCCAGCTAGTGTTGGGCGGACGATAGAGTGGCTCACTTGGGCGAGGGGGCATGGAATGGTGAAGCTTGTATTTTTTCAAACACATTCGTTTTATTATCTTACTTTCTTAGGGTTTTATGTTAAGTACTTGCCAAACGTTGGCGTTATGGCCTGCAATCTAGTTTAAGCGCTTGTTACTCATACGCAGTGTTGGCCTTCTCTAAGAGATTTTTTAGGACTGGCATAAATTCGCATACTTGAGAATAAAGATTAACGTTTTTATCAAAGCTTAAAACCAAATTTGTATCGAAGTTTAAAAACTTTCTACTTGGCCCACCAGTCGTATGCTTGATTTTTGTTAATTTGCTTACTGAAAAGTTTATGGCCGTTTTCAAGAATACAAAAAGCTTTAATAGTTTTTCATTTAAATTTAATTTGCCCAAAAAAAACCTTAACCTTTAAGCTTCATTTATTCGAATAAAATAATTCCAATCACCATAATTGAGTAAACATTTTGAAACCTTTCATTTTAAAATTATATACCACCATATATGCGTTTAAAAAAATTATGCAAATTTAAATAGTGTCTGCTATGAAGAGTACATTTTGTTTATGCGAACACTTTTTGCGCCATTTAATGAAATAATTGCACATAATGGGAGTGATGATTTAATCCAATAAATTAACATTAAATTCAACAAGTTTTAATTTTTTCAGACAATTCAATTCAATTCAATTACATTTGATTATTTTGAATACACAAGTTGTCAGGCCTATTATTTATTTTTCTGACAGTCACTTATCGTATTAAACATTGGTTTTGTTTTGGTTATCTTTAAATTCAATTATTTTGTATGGCTAGCCACCGAAATATTGCCAACTGACTATTGGGAGTTCCCTCGCCAAAGGTTGAGCCACCGACCACCGTTGTCCACCAAAAAGAGCAGGGTGTTCCCAACACTGGCCCCCAGCACTAGCACTTGCAGCTTGTGGTGCACGTGCACGTGGTTTTTGCTTGGAGTTCGTCTTCCCGTTCGAGTTCGATTTCGATTTCGATTTTGATTTCGATTTCGAGTTCCACTTCAGATTGCAGACCGGAGCACCAATTCGCACCAATCTACCCATCACCACCACCACCACTTTGTACAGAAAACTTGCAGCTATGTAACTTCACCGGATGGGAAAGGCCCGCACTCGCTCACTTCTCTCACAGCAATTATCACAAAACGCAATCCGCAGACCGCTATCCGCAATCCGCATCCGCTTGAGTCCCGGCTTCGTGTGTTGTCCCTCAGTAGTTTGTAGCCAGGTAGTCTGTCCCACGCTTGTCGCTTGCTCCTGTTCTTGTTCTTGTTGTTCCAGTGGCGGGAGGTCCTTGTTAGTGGGCTTATGTGTTGTGCGTGTGACTCCCCAAGAGAACTGTCCGCTCTACTCCGCTCTCCTCTCTATCTCTTTCTATCTCTCTTCCCTCTCTCTCCCACTGCCTGTGCCTCTGTGCTCTGCCGCTGCTCTGCGCTTGCGGGACGCAGTTCGACAGCAGTGAATGTGCCCACCCACCGTTGCACTGCAATAGCCGCGTAAGCAACTGGCCGGAGGATGCGGCAGCAGCCAGCAGAGTCCCCTACTGACATCCTTTCCATTGCAGCACATCCACATGCTGGCCGAGGAGCACTCCACCTCCATCTCGGAACGCTGCACGCGCAGCCGGATCAACTCGGCCATCTTCGTGTCCTCGGAGGGACGGGGCTTCGACTCCATCGAGTTCCTGCGCCGCCACGGATCCCAGAGCGTGCTCTGCCGGAAGGCCAAGAGTGCCGAGAACATCACGGACAACGGCCGCAGGGTGAGTCCAGACATAAGATAACAGATAGGTTTAATGCAATCCTGTTTAGTTTTATTTTGTAACATTACGTGGTAATAATAACAATGAATCTAAAGGGATTTCTTGTAAGGCATTGAGGGTGTTGGTAACTGGGATCTTCGACTGTGTCATATTACAAATTATATTTTGTTTGAACTGTTAATTTGTTTTTTGTTTTATTTATACAATATTTATATATATTATTATTTTATGTAGAAGGCTGATGAAAGCGTATATTGGGCAGTCTATATTTATATTTATTATTATTTTATGTAGAAGGCTTTTTGACAAGTTTGGTAAAAAAATAGTGTTAAAATCGTCCCTTGATTTTATTTAATGCCCAAATGCATTGAAAGTCTATTTGGGTCCATACAGTTTTAATATTTAATAGACTTTTTTTTAACTTTATTTCAATGGTAAAAAATGGCAGTTGTCATCAGTTTAAGTGTAAGTTTAAAAATTCACTCATAGCCCTCTTAAAAACTTCTTTAGCTAATATACAAAGAATGCGTGTTTAATATTTTTTCTTTAATGAAAAAAATAAGTAGTTTATGAGTGATCTGAAATTTTTCCAATTTTCAGAAGAGTCTGCGCCCATGGCGCACCGACGACGAATCCTGCAAGCAGCAGCACCTTTCGCAGGACAGCAACGACATCGAGCTGAAGGAGTGCGGCGGCGCTGGAGGAGAGCTGCTCCGCCTGCCGGTCATCCACGACGGCAAGCAGTCGCCCACGGCCGTTACAAGTCTGCTGGCTCGCTCGGCGGCCATAACCACGGCCAACATGATCGTGGGCAGCATTTCACTGGAGGCACCGCCACCCTACATGCAGGACGACGAGGGCGACACGCTGTCCACGGCGGCACTGATCCACAGCGATGCGGCTGCCGTGGTCCACGAGTCGCAGGACTCGGCGGAGACGGTGGAGGAACTGGTGCATGTGCCACTTCTGGCCAGTGCCACGGCCACGGCCAGTGTGTCGACCTCGTCCTCGCCCAGCATTGCCATCGAGGCCAAGCCGCGGGTCCTGGTGCACCAGCGATCCTCCACGGCATCCTCGTCGCCGCACAGCAGCCCCAAGAACGTGGGCAATCTCGCACTGAAGATCGTCAAGCCCAAGATCAGTGCCGTGCCAATGGTTTCCGTATCCGGTCCATCGCCACCCATCGAGAAGCCACCGCTGGCGGAGTGCTTGTAACAAATGGCAGCCGAAACATTTATCTAAGCTCGTGCTCAAGGCAACTGGACCCCGCATCCTGGACAGTCCTTAAAAAACCAAAATACCAAAAGTCCCAGACAACAAAAACTCCAGTCCAAAATCCAAATCCTACATAAGTAATCTAAGACGAGAAAATTGAGTTGGAGAAAGTATGCCAGCTGCTCAAATAAGTGTTTCGGTGAGAGGCTTTAAAATGGAGAACGCAAAAAAGAAAGTTCAAGGACGATATAATAGGAAAATAGGATAGACACAAAGAGATATTGTACCAGTGGTCATCACCAGGCAGAGAAAGCTTTGTATATTCAACAACGACTGAAGTATACACATATGTATATCATAAACGAAAACAATGGTAATCTGTAGAACCTAAGGACTCGAGTCGATTGCGTATGTGTGTATACATACCTATTAACTGATAAATCAGCTTTAACAACAAACAAGTAAACTATCAGGCTTTAATTATACGACGATGATGAATTTCTGGTTTAACCTAGTCTGTAGACTCACCCTAGCTGTTGAAACGAATAAATCAATTCTCTTTAATTGTTCTCTTATACATATAGCCAAAAAAAAAACAAACCAAAAAAAAAAAACATAACCATTTGGGCACCACAACTGTTATACACGCGATCTATATAGATTTACTGAATATATTTATATTTATACACTCAGTAAAATTAGGTACATGCGTTTAAGAGTCCTGCAAGAATCGACAGATGTTGAAACCTTTCTCAAAGATGTTTTAATGAATTAAAATGTTTGTTAAAACTGACAAGAAAAAGACCTGTTGAATCATGCAGGACTATACTACGCATCCTAGAAGTATTCGGACACACACTATACACTTAGCTCTTATTGTTAAGACGACGAAATCACATAGTCCAAATGTTACTTGCTAACATATCAATTACTCTACTGTACCCACGACCAAAGCGAAACGATTGAAACTGTAAACTAGTCGATAATTAGCGGTAAGCATTATATTTCAAAACCACTAACTAAATATAGAGTTTTTGTCAAGTAAGTGCCCTGGATGACTTCTGAGAGTGTTTTTAAAACCAGATTCTTACATGTATTCCGTGTAGATGTTTCTGTAGCTCGAACTTTATCCCATACAAAAGAGTATATCTGACCTTAAGCGTACATATTGATCGATTTATAGAAGTTTATATAGTGAAGTTATTATAGGAATCTCCAGCCAGCACCAAGCCCCATTTGCTCCTGCTCACTGATTTAGGTAGTCTCTATACATATTAGTTATGATAATCCAAATTTTAACTATCCACCTGCGCGTTAGACACTTGAAATCTATCCTATCCAGTTCGTTTAAATGAAATAACAAAAAAGGAAAATGTAAATACACACCGCACTTGTACCTACAACAACTGAAACACTCATCAGTGGAACACAAAACATTGTAATTAAGGAATTGTCAATTTATGGTCCAAAGCTACAATAATTAGAACATCATTTGGATGGTTCAGCAGTAAGCTTAACTAAGTTCTAGTTACGTTCGATTCGCTAACACAAAACAAAAGTAAAACTGTGTGAATGTGTATTTTTGAAATCAAATAAACGAATTACATAAATGTAAAGTCTTCTTTTCATGACGTGTTTTTCAAAATCTTTTCGAATATCACACAGTGGTTTCCTTGGTCGTAGTAGCTCTTAGTAAGCTGTACCTCTGGGAGCTGAGCCACCAGATTCTCCAGCTCCTGCTCTTCGAAGACGTGGTAATAGCGCAGGTATGTGGTCCTCTGTTCGTCCTTGGTCTTCCAGGGCACCAGCACGTCCTGTTGCTGAAACTCAGTGCGATTGGTGTGCACGGGCAGTGGGGTATTGTTGGGCAGTTGTTCCAGTTCCTGGTGTTGCTTCTGGCGTTGCTGCTGCTCGGTGGTGCGTTCCTTATTTACTGCCTTGTTTTGCCGGAGATAAGCGGACTTTTTATCATTCTTTCGCTGATCCTTGGCCCAAACATAAACCAGAGCACGACCTCCTGGTCGAAGAACACGTGCCATCTCCTTGATAGCGGCCAGTCTACGCTCCCCAGTTGCCAGGTGATGTACAACTGCTATGCTGATGCAGCCATCGATGCTGGACGAGCGCACAGGCACACTGAGGCAGTCGCATCGAAACACATTCTGTCCCTTTCGACGGCCCACAGCAAGTAGTCCTTGTGCGCGATCACAGCCGATGGCCAGGAGTTCCGGGTTGCAGCCCAGATACTTCCCATTGCCACAGCCAATGTCCAGCACTACGGACTGTGGATCGAATGATTCTAGAAATCCGGCCACTTGTGGCCAAGGTGTGTGTCTCGTTTCGCTAAAGTGATCGGCAATCTTATCGTACACCTCGTGGACATTCTGTTGCTCCAGGCTAACGGCTTGCGTAGCCAGGGAGGCTGACAATTCCTGTGGTGCCTTGCTTTGACGAGTGTCGCAAAGCATGGGATACGAACAGTCGCAGGGTCCTCTTCGCAGGCGTCTAAATGTCAAGGATGTCCGCTTGCCACGGACTTTGGTGGTCAAACCTCCTGATGCACTGGGCACCACATCGATGTGCTTCGGCCTGATGCCGTGCGTCCAATCGTAGCGAGCCTCGCCGGACATGATTAGCAATGAGCGTCGCGGCAATCTGACCTGAACCTGCTCCTCTCCTCGCCGGAAATCCATTACCACATCGGATTGTAGGGACAGCGAGAGAATTGGGTCCAAAAACGCACTATGTGTGTCCACATGCGGAGGTATTCCATGACCAGGCTCGTACTCATTCACCGTCAGCTGGTCCGGAGTGCTCCAGTCCCAAGTGGATGAAGAGCTTTCCAGTCGTGGCCATAGAACATCACAGGCTGATGGTATTGATTGATCCAGGGGCTTTGAGGGATCTACATTGTTGCTTCCATAGAGAAACTCGTAGCCAAAGTGCTTGACATTTCGATGCTTGAGAGTCCCGGAGCCCGCGGAGGTTTTCCCATCTGCAGCGATGGCCGCCAGCAGCGTTGATTCCTCCTCCTCGCTGACAAAATCCGGAATTACCACTAGGCCACTGGGAAGAGGTCTATTCCATGGACTTTTCCCCGCAAGAGCCGGTAACTCCTTTATGTAACTTAGGTAGGCCACTGCTCCCTGTTGTCCTATGGTGGAGACGTTGTGCATGCCCAGATATATGAGCTGGGAGTCCTCCAGGGTGGCACAGACCACAAAACAATACGATTTTCCAGGCAACATGATCACCTCGGTTACCTTTCCGCTGGACTTGGCCGCCGCTTGGAGTAAGTTCTCCTCCGTGAGTCCATTGCTGAGTCCCACGTTGAGGATCGCCAAATATGGGGTAGGCTCGTCACTCGGGGTTACATCGCAGTCACTTTTAATAATTGCCAGACATCTACGCTGCTTTTTATCCGCCTTTTTAGCCTTGTTTACCTTTTGCGGTTTCTCCTCAACGTGCATGTTGCGGCCAGTGTGTACACACCTAAGCAATATATTTTATGTGAGTAAGCCGAATTTGTAAATTCCCTTTTATACAACTGGTTCGCCTCTCATGGAACTAGTTGATAAGCGCAATTTTCGAGAACAAAATAAGAAATTTTAATATTTAAATGTAGAATATTTTAGGTTAAGGTACCCTCAATTAACCTACTGATTAAATAGTACAAAACCTCGACAGAGAAACAACATTTTTAAAGGATTTTTAGAGCAAGTGCTAATGCAAATGCAATTTTATAATGCTACACTTTGTAAGCCTAAAATAATACCTATACTAGTTGAAATTGAGAATCTTATAGTACAAAATTTTGGGTGCGTGCACCTCTAGCAGTCTACCAGACCCGGTCGATCATACTGTTGTCCTGGGGCTTCTGGTTCATGGTGGTCAATTGCTGGTGGTAGTTGCGCATCTGGTTGCTGCGGCGTGGCTGCGCCAGATACTCGAACATGCTCTGCAGATGCTGCGACAGCATCTTGCTCAAGTCGCTCGGCATGGGATCCGTCCAGAAGAAGTCGTGGTTGAGGGCCGTGTCCGCATCAATGCGCTTCTTGGGGTCCAGGGTCAGTAGCTTGTCCAACAGATCACAGCCGGTGGGATCCTTGACATACGGACGCAGGCGCTCCTTGACGCGACGCTTCTGGTTCTTTGGCAGTTCAATGGATTTGTACAGCTCCAGCTCCTCCACGCCTGGCCATACGTCCGGCGTAAAGGAGCCGCAAAGCTGCGAGATGAAGGTCAACTGTTGCTGCTCTGTGTTTCCCTGCATGATGGGCGAGCGGGTCCACATTTCGGCCATGATGCAGCCAGCGCCCCACATGTCCACCGGCGGTCCGTAGTTCCGGTCGCCCAGTAGCAACTCTGGCGGGCGGTACCACAGGGTCACCACACGATTGGTGTAGCGATTCTTGCTCTCGTTCTTTGGAATGCTGAAGGCGCGGGCCAACCCAAAGTCTGCCAGCTTTAAAATGCCATGCTTGGTGATCAGCACATTGGCAGCCTTCATGTCACGATGCAGGATCTACAAACCGAAATTCAAAATGAAAACATTGTACTAAACACTTGTTTTATGCTATGACTCACCTTGTTGCTGTGGATGTAGTACAAACCATTGAGCAGCTGCTGCATCACCTTCTTGATCTCGCCCAGACTGAACTTCACATTCATGTTTGATAGAAGGCCAGCCAAATCGTGCTCGCAGAAATCGAAAACCAAGTAAAAGGTGGATCTGTAACCATTCGTGGCGGTGGCCTTGGTGCGGCAAATCTCGATTAGATTCACCACGTTCTCGTGCTTAAGCAGCTGCAGGATGCGGATCTCTCGCAGGGCCGTGATGGGGAACTGGGGAGCATAAATAAGTTACGAACAGATCTTCTTATATGTGAGTTTGAACGCACGCCTTCTTTTTCGTTGTCCATCAGCACCTTCTTCATGGCCACAAACTTCTTGTTGCCCTTCTTCTCTCGAGCCTTGAAAACCTCTCTGCAAACGGAGTGGAGCTTGAGTACCCAAAGTTATGTGCACTTTAAGGACATACCCGAATGTGCCCTGACCAATTTTGGCCACCTTCTCGTATTTGTTGCTCTCGTCGCAGTAGGGAAAGTCGTAGTCCTCGATGTACTTCTGCTTTTCCATTAGGGACATGGTGCGCGAGGAGCTGGAACCGGATGGCGTCGACGTCGACGGTTGCTGGAGCATGTGGGACATGTGCGCCATGGTGGAATATGCCTTTATACGTACAGATTTCGCAATTCCAGGTCCGAAACAAGCCGACAGACAGACGAAAAGAAATCAGCAACAAATGGTGTTTGCTACAGCTGATGGTTAAAATAAAACAGTGTGCACTCACTGTTACTGCATATCGATAGCACAATCGATAGGTTCGCTCAACAGCTGTCCCAGCAGTTATCACTTTGCATTGTTGGTATACACTGGCCAAGTGATATAACCTATCGCAATTTGGCCACAAAATAAAACCCGATTTAATGAATAAACTATTGAATGTAGCGCAGGCAGTGCCGCGCCAGTTTGTCCGGGAATATGCCTTCAAGTCGGATTTGAAAATCAAATGGGTGCGCCCCGAGAAGATCGCGTGCTTTAAGCCGGAAAAGAGTGGCGACCTGGCCAAACTGCCTCCTCTGAAAGCCGATGAGCTGCTGCTGGAATATAGGGATTGCAAGGAGCTGGAGAAGTAAGCATTATAACATATTTTGTGACTTAATAATATTATTTTATTGAATCTATAGAGCCGACGAGTCTGTCAGGGCGCAGTTTAAGCTGATCAACAATGCCAGTTATCTGACCACACAGTTTTATCGTGATGAGATGGTAAAGGAGGTGCAAAGGCATGCCCAGGATTACGGGTCAATGGAGGCCAAGTGTATGTTGCTAGCCAAAATGCAAATTCTTTAATTTTACCCCTAATTAATCTCACGTATAGTGGCCAAAATGACCGCGGTGATTCGCCGCTACCAGGAGCACATGGATGCCCATCCGCGCGACAAGATGATCAAGGTGCGACTGAAGGAGCTCATCGACAAGCGCAAGAAGTTCCTCAAATACCTGAGACGCTGGGACTATCCACGCTTCGAGTGGATTCTCGAGAAACTCGAACTGGTGTACAAGCCACCGCCCACACATTTCCACTGGATCACCCGCAAGGAGTCGCTGCAAAAGCTGACCGACACCTACTGCGAGAACCTCAAGGAAGAGCGGCTGGAGGCCTACCACAAGCAGCTGCAGGCCCAGCAAATTCCCTTCCTCGAGGAAGCCATCAAGAAGATGCAGTTCGTGCGGCAGGAGCAGATATCCTGCGATGTGCCGGTGACCGTGACCGAAGAGCAGATCGCCGACTCGGAAAGGCAGCTGGCCCAGCTCAAGGAGCTGCAGCAGGCAGACGCAGCCGCCAGTAGTCTGAAACAAAACGAGGATAGCTTCAATTAGGCCCGGTTCTTTAATGTTACGGTGTCTTACAATAAATGTAAATGCTGATGTTCTTAAATGATACGTTTTATTATATTTTTAGAGTAAACTCGACATCGTACCGCAACGTCATGATCGAGAGCAGCGCAGGCTGGCAAATAAATAAGCAGGCAAGGATGATTGCCTTATAGAAATGTATGAAAAAACATGCGATCAGAGAGAAGATCTTAAAGGGTACGGATTACAGCTAACGCCTGCCGGGAGAGCCGGATTTCCGCTTGCCGCCGCTGCTAGAGCTACTCGAGCTGCTCGACGACGAGCTGGAGCTGGAGCTGGACGAACTGGACGACGAAGAGGAAGACACTGAAGAGGTGGAGTCGCGAGAGGTACGCTTGCGCTCCTTGTCGCCATTGCCCGTGGCTACTTTGCTCTTGACATCCGTGGAAGTGACCTCGTCGTCGCCCCAAAGATCGTATTTTGAGAGATCCCCGTCGTCGCCCTCTTCGTCGTCATCATCGTCGTCATCGACTTTCCGCACCTCATCCCGACTGGACCTCCTGGCCCGCTTCGAGTCCTCTCGATGCTCGCCGTGCTTCCGCTTCTTGCGCCGACCAAACTCATCGTATTCGCTGTCCGAATCCTGGCGATCCTTGTATTCCACCACCCCGCGATCGTTGTAACCACCGCCGAAGCCTGCAAAGGGAGTTGTTAAGGGGGCTTTGGGACAGGATGCAGCTGCTTCAGACTCACCAGTCCGCTCCTCCACGTCCGAGAACTTGGGAGCGTTGCACATGTTGCAGGTCTGGCGACGTGCCCAGTTCACATTGGCGCACTTGCTGCACTGCCAGTCCTCGGCGCTAAACAAACCCCGCGACTTGTCCGCCGCCGCTTTCCCGATCTCCGTCCCCAGCTTCTTCTTGCTGGAGCTGCTGCTACTGCTGCTGCTCCCGTTTCCACGGTCCCGCTCTCGATCCCTATCCCGCTCCGGCTTTTCACTGCTTTCGCGGTCCCGATCGCATTTGTTGCACTGCAAACGGCGCGCGAAATTGAGATGGCGACAGCTGCAAAATCGTGGGAAAGGTAAGATTCGCAGAACTCCTCGCCTGGATCGGCTGATCCGCCGGGTGGCGGCTATTCCTGCATCTTTACGCGCACTCACTCGTAATCTGGGCAAATCCAATCGCCAGGCGAAGCGACGCTTCCTCCGCCACTGCTTCCTGCGCCCCCAGCTGCCACGCCTCCGTTTGAACTGGACATGCTGGGCGCTGGCTGAGAACTCTGCTAAAGGATATTGCTACTGGGCGTCCAAGTAATCCTCCACAGGTCTCAGGAGCAGCATCAAACCGAGATTTTTTTTTTACCAATATTCTGTATACGATACGAATTAGGGCTGTCAAAACATCGATGACACTATCGATAGTTTGGTTTTGGCCGGCCGCGGCAATCGATTGCCCTTGGCCTCTCACGATAGGTCGATATTTTCATTTGCGGTATTCCCTATATTTTTGAATGGCTTAATCGAAGTTTTATCAAGAATGTTAAGTTATTTAATTAATTAATTAAGGACCATGGTTGTGTTTATTAGGTACTTTTTGGGAATAATTTGAATTATAATATACTGGTCTTCTAGGAGTTATTATATTCCGTACTTGAAAAACCTCAATGCTAGTATTCACCACTGAGTGATAACGTGATTACTAAACAAAAAAAAAACAGGTAGTAATTAGGGCACTATTAAGAAAAATGTCCACAATAGAGAACATTACAAAATGACAAACAAATACTTTTAATCTGTATTACATTCCTACTGATTCTCTTTAAAGCAGACTTCATAAATTAAGTGCAATTAGATATTGGCATATTTCCAACAACATTAACCTTTAGCACACTTGTCTTTAGTAAATAAAAGAGCATCATTGATTAATGAAACCCGAAATTAAAAATCATTCAAAATAAATTTAATCGTTTCAAGTCAACACTTAGCACTCATGCAGATCCCAGACAATCAACCACAAGAACTTGTATACTTTTAGAGTTTTATTTCCTTAGTTTACAAACAAAAGCCGCTCCAAAAGTAAACACTGATTTTGTTTTGTCGTTTGTTGGATGGTTGATAAAAGAATGTGACTAACGCATAACCAGCAGCTTTTGGGAATAGTCGGGGATACCCACAGACATAGACATCCTTTCCTTTCAGGCTTACTTCTTGCCAGTGCCGATCTTGGCCTTGGCAGTGCCGCGCACCTTCTTCATCCTGTTGCGACGCTCCTTGCGCTGCTTGCGCGTCTGCTTCTTCTGCTCGAAGAGGCCGTGGCGGGCCAGGCGGTATTTGGGCTCGAACTTCTTGGCGTTGTCGAGGGTGTCGTAGATGAGGGCGAAGCCCGTGGAGCGGCCGCCACCGAAGTTGGTGCGGAATCCGAAGGCGAAGACCACATCGGGGGTGACCTTGTACATGGCGGCCAGCTTCTCGCGGATCTCGGTCTTGTTCACCGATGACAATCCCGGGTGCAGGACATCGCAGACCATCTGTTTCCTGGCGAGCAGGCGGTTGGTCATGAACTTGCGGGTGCGGATGGTGGCGGTTGTACCGGACATTCTGACGGAGCTGCAATGGAATTAGTCAGGATTAGTTTAATTCTTGTTTTTACACACAATCGTCGGCACTGCGGATTGTTGTTGTCGCCTGCGAGGGAATCAACATAACCTCACAGGTTTTGGGTGCTCCATGTCTCCACGTGTGACACGGCTGTGGGTTTATCCGCCTCCCACGAACGCGACCTTCAAGCGCAGGTCTGTAAGCAGTTGGCGGGCTGTCTTTGCCTGCATTTTTAACTAGTTTTGGGGGCTAATTACCTTTTAAAACACTTGAAAAGGTTTTAAACACGTCGTTTTGCGAACGCGATTCTTTAGAAAGGAAGATGGCCGTCAGAGTGACCGTGACTGCACATACTAAATTATACCAAATACTAAATAAATATACTAGAAAAGTGAAAAGAGCCACAGGTTTATAGCTTTGGTAATGACGGGCTATGACTTAAGCCAAAGAAAATAATAATAAACAGAGCTGTTGTTTTAATAATTTTTTGCTAATAATAGTCGATTCAATAGGAAGATAAACCAGTTTTGAACTCAGGACAGTTGTAGAGCTAAGAGAAACAACCAGTTTTTCATAGAAATAACATTTATGATAGCGCGCACTCAAACCCTAACCATACTGTTAGTTAACAGCAAAGTAATGCATTCAATGCTCTTAACAGTAGCTTAACAGTGGCTTGGCGCCAAACTTAAAAAGAGTATACAAAACAAAAAACCCTAGTTGAGCAAACTAATGCATTTATTCTGAAAACTAAAATTAAATATTTGGTACGTATTGAATTCGAAGTTATAAGCAATAAGTGGCATGTTTTAGTTTTATTTTGACTAAGATCTAAGAAAAAGTCACGTGAAATTAGATTAGATTACAAGTTAACCCATTTTTGCCATTGAATATCAAAAAAATTTTTTTGCTGATTCATCTTTACCTCCATTGATATTTATTCGAGTGCAAGAACTGCTTGGCATGCACTTTATTTCCGAAAACAAAACTTAATTTACTTTGGTCGACTTTGAGTTGTTCTTCTTATTCCAAATATAAAAGCCACCATAACCCAAGGCCGCCAGCAAGGTCACGACCAGAGTGGCTATTCCAGCGTAGAAAACGAACAGGTCGAACAGGTGCAAATGGCAGGAGGAGATGCCAATGCCCCGGGTCCTAACAGCCGCTCCTCCTTTGTGCCGGGCCACGTAGTTCACCCAGAAGAGAGCGTTGGCCAAAGCACCGAGAGGTCGGTCCCTGAACTCCAGCGACACATCTCGGATGGTCAGTTGGTAGTGGGACTCCAGGAGCAGCCTACTCACTGCCCAGTTAAGCGAGCTGGTCGTCACATTACCCTCATCCAACTGCAGACCCACGCCCAATCGCACGGCTAGCTCCACGTTCCGCCTTTCGTGGTGGAAGAGCGGCAGTCCCAGAATGGGTACATTCCGCACTATGCCCTCCTGAAGGTTCAGAAGATCGCCGTTGGTTAGGAAAACCTTAACCCTCGGATGCGCCAGGATGTCTATCTGCGGCACCGCATGTTGGATCATCACGTTTTTGGGCAATCCGTCCAGTTTCTTGACATCGTGACAGGTCCAGATGACGCTCTCCTTTCTGGCGGCGAACAAGCCAAGCAAAGCCTCCAACTTATCCTTGGGTAACTGGCCACAAGGCTGCTCATTTCCCAACTGAACGTAAATGACTCCGGCGCGAGCCTCCTCCAGAAAACGCTTCATGTTCCAGGGCAACTCCTTGGGACCCCGGATATGCAGACCTCCAGCGGGAACGATCTGCTGGATGCTCACTCGGGGGGTCATCAGTGGCACATGACTGTTGAGCAGCAGCACGGATAGCTGGCTGGCCTGCAGTTCGGGTATCGAGTGCTGCAGCTTAAAGTACTTGGCCACCAGTTGCTCCTGACCGCCGTAGTGATCCTTGATGAATCGCTTCCTGCGATTGATACACTGCCGGATATTGCCGAGTCGCTCGGAAAAGCCCAACTGGACCAAACCTTGCTCAAAATCGATGGGGGAACAGGCAGCCGGCACCAGTGCCTCTTGCACTGCATCCATGTAGCTACCAAAGTCTGTGGAAATGATCCCTATGACAGGACGCTGGTGGAGAGCCCCCAGTGCCAGCAGTGCCTCCGTGTAGAAGTAGTCCACTAGGATCACATCGAAATCAAATTCCAGGTAGGACATCTTTAGCAGTTTCTGGATGGGCTCCTGCATAAGGAAGTGATCCAGGGCGCGGGCTCCAACGCTGGCCAAGGACTGGCGAAGATTTTCAATGGGCAGGCGACCAAGATCAGCTAGGTTTCCCTTGGGTGCCGCCAGTTTTTGCACTGTTTGGGGTGATAATTGGTATAATTTATGGCAACTTCCATAAGAACCATACTAACACTCGCTCCAGAAGGGATATTCCGGTATCACCGTTTCCGTAACATTATCCAAAGTTTCCCCCAAACCATGTCCCGTATAGACTTCAACCTATGCGAAGTAACTTTCTGATGATATCCATCTAATTTAACAAAACTTACTACTTACTGTATGCTCTCGGATGGCCAATTCCGTCACTAGAGTTCTCATTACCGCAAAGTGACCCTCGTTGGCATGGGGAAACAGTACCAGGATCTTGGCTCCCTGAGAGATCTGAACCAAAACTAGGCCAAAAAGTGCCAGACAAATCCATCGATTCTTATGCGATTCCTATGGATTCAAATTCAAAATAATTTAGGTCATTTCCGAAAGTACACATCATCGAATTGAAGATGCTCCGGCATTTCCTTATCAGTTTGTCAGTTGCCAGGCTACAAAGACGGCTCTTATTGAACTTGTTGCATTCGTGTTTACCAACCATATTTCGTATTCGGTATTCGAACAATAACGATAAGCGATTATAATTAAGTTCCGGCCGTATTTTAACTGCATTCGCCTAGTAAACTCTTCCGGTTCCAGTGAGTAAACGAATCAGACTGAACTCATTTCTCCTTGCGCCTTGACTCCCCACAAAAACAAAACACTCAACTGATTGCTCTCGGGAATATAATCTTAGAGATATGTACGTCCAGAAGTGCTGTGGTCACTGGAACATGTGTGGACCCCAGACCCCAATACAAATGCCTTGTATATAGAGATCCTATTGCTTCCATTAAAGTATACAAAGCGATTGTGGGCCTGGAAAAGGGGTACAATTGCACCGACACACATATGTATACTATACCCCAGTTGAGCGATATGAAATCGTCTCTTGAGCTTATTGTTCTTCTCGCTCAAAAGTAAAAAGAGTAAAGGGAGTGGGGTCTTTCGATTTGTTCACATATGCATAATTGGACGATTTTCTTATGTTGAGCGCATTTGCTAATTGTGAAACTTGCAAATTCATCATTGTCTGACAAAAGTTCTAAATATACTATTCCTTAGTTTCAGTTACTAGAGGGCTGATTTGGGGCTCTGATATTGTTGTTCTTTGAGAGATTTTGGTATACTGTCACTGGGAAATGTAAAGACAAGAATTGGATTGGTACTTTAATTTGTAAATATTTTATCATTTCCGCATTTTCGATATTTTCTGGAATATGAACATTTAAAAATCTTTAAAATTCAATGAAATATTAATCAATAAATCAAGACCTTTGGCTATACTCAGTCCAAATACAAACCGGAACTAAAAAAATTTAACAAATTTCTGGATGAAGTTGTAAACTTTATCTAGAATTTTGTAAGATACTTAGACATTCTTAAACTACTTTAATTGTTTAACCATACAAAAACTCTATTTACATTTTCTTAAGCTAGTAAACTAATAAATTCGGTCGACTTTTAAAAAGTTACACTTACTTTTGAATATAATTTTTATTTGTAAGATTTCTGGAAGTTTTATGTTTGAGTTATAAATAAAATTCAGATGTTACCAAAACAGATTCTGCGATCCAATTAAATGGCCGCTCCAGAAACAGCCTGGCACCTGTTCTTTCAATCATTTCCAATTAGTGTTCCCAGCAAACCCAAACAAACTGAACATACAGAAGTATTCGGCTGTGTGTACTTTAAATTGACGCAAGTGTGCAAATCAGAAAAATGTGACAAACCAAACGATGTTTATCAACAACAAAAGGCACAACATGGGAAATCTAAATCGAGAACAGAACAGCAGACTCACAAAGGCAAGCAAATTGGCGAAGAGGCAAAAACCGGTTGCCGCTAAGGGAAGTCGCCAAAAGAAAGCGAGGAAGGGGTTCCAAAACCGGTTCATTGAACCTGAGCACCACCGGCCGGCCCATTATGGTATAGACACACAAAAGAGCTGAAAAGAACGATTCCATCTCCTTTATCACAAACAATGTTCTTTATTTATGCCATTTCTCGTTTTAGTTGAGCAGAGCTACTTGCTTACGGAACAGAATGTAAATAAACATGGCGAATGCAAATGGTAAATGCAAATGTCTGGAAAAATCGATTATGCGTTTAGGCTTATTAAATCAAATCGGTTATGTTTGCTGATGGATGAAAGGGATCCGTACATAGAGGCTGGGCAGCCAACCAGTTTAATCGGTGGCATCGGCCTTGGCCACGGAGAAGGCCTCCGCGACGGGGATGCTGCCGCTGTTGGCGATGACCACATCCTTGACGGGACGATCGCGGGCATCGGTGGCCGAGTTCTCGATCTGGCGCACCACATTCATGCCCGACAGGATCTTGCCGAAGACGACGTGGCGTCCGTCCAGCCAGCTGGTCTGCTTGGTGGTGATGAAGAACTGGGAACCGTTGGTGTCCTTGCCAGCATTGGCCATGCTCAGCCAGCCGGCGCCGTAGTGCTTCAGCTTGAAGTTCTCATCCTCGAAGCGTTCGCCATAGATGGAGCGTCCTCCGGTGCCGTCACCCTTGGTGAAGTCGCCGCCCTGGATCATGAAGTCCTTGATGATGCGGTGGAACTTGCTGCCCTTGTAGCTGCAAAGAAAAAATATTTATTTATCAATTTGATGATTTTAGGCTAAAACCAGCGTTACAAAATATCTATTTAATTTGTAATTGAATTGCAATTTGCAAAATGCAAACAATTGATGCGGTGGAAATTTTTGCCCTTAAAGGTGCGTACAAAAATAATTGATTATAAGTTTGATGATTTTAGGCTTGATACCATCACCATTAAAACAAATATATTTAATTTTGTGTGGGAATGCAATTTGCAAAACGCCAAAACTGTTTTTCCTTATTAATTTGGTATTTTTAAACTAGAAAGATTGAAACGTCGTAAGTATGGGCATTAAGGAAAATTAATTTAACAAAGGATTTGATGATTTTAATATCGATATAGCGTTACAGTTTGAAATGTAAAAATTACAAATTTAATTTGTAAATATTAATCTTAGAAAATAGAAAAATGCACAAAACAGCGGCGGGATTTGAACCTGGGCTTAAGTAATGTAAGCAGTTGGGAATTTTGCACACATCAAAATGTTATGTGATATAAAAATATCTATTTAAACCGAGCTTTCTTATGATTGGGGGATTACGAAGAGTGTAGAGTGCTCTTTGTCAGCCCATTAGTCCATACTATTCCCGAGATTCGCTTTCTCAGCGGATGATTGGTCGCTTAAACGCCACGTAATTGCTTCAATCTGAGAGCCCCGCTATAACCTACAAACGGTGTAGCTGTTCTGGTGTGCGAGTGCCGCTAATCGGCGGCTTCTTTTTGGGAAGCCTAGCGGTACCTGGTATACGCTACCACTACCCTGCTACCCCAAGTACTCACCCTTCGCCCTCGGGCTTCTGCGCCAGCTCCCGGAAGTTCTCCACCGTCTTCGGAACAGTTTTGCCGAACAGGCCGATTTCGATGCGACCAGCGGGCTCACCGCCAATGGTGATGTCAAAGAAAACCTACGCAAACGGAATTGGTTTATTATTAACAATCATCTCATTTGATTTATTGCATAGCGGGTGTGTGCGAGTGTGTGTGTGTGCGAGGGAGATGGTGTTCAAGTACATAAAATACACCGGGAAAGGACGAAATCAAAGGAGCACTTACCTTTTCGGTTACTTTGGGCCCTTTGCTGTCATCGGCGACGACGATTCCGGCCACCAGGGCCACCACGCACAGGGATAAAAACAACTTCATGGTTCCAGAAACTCTCAGCGATTGAATTAATTTCTGTTGTAGAGCTGCAGTACCAGAAAATGTGACCAGTCGGCGGCGTGGGTACTACAGAAGCAAAACTCTTTGGAAATATTGCATTAATGCAGTGCTGGTCACACTTACCTGGCGGGAAATCTGAATTTGAGCTAGGACTCAAACCAGTCAATTTTAAAAACAAAAATATAGGTAGCAAACTCATAAGAACAATATAAAATTGTATACCTTCAAACTTTTATCACAAGTTCGTATTCATAACATTAAATCTTTTTTTAATTTACCAAATTCCACATGCAAAATATAAATAAAATATAACATTTATGTTACAGTTGGGTAATATATAGCGGGTATATATAGCTGCCATAGAAACGATCGAATAATTGAGTTGAAAATTATAATAACTTCAATGTTTTTATACATATTCGCGTGTAATTCGTAGTTTAGATGTTTTAAATAAACCAATTGATTATTGGTGAACTGCTATTTGGGTTTGAGATTTATCCAGTTCCTTAGCCGCCTTTTCTGCCCTTTTCTTTTCTCTGTTGGCCAGGACTTTCTCCCTGGATTTCTGGGCCTTTTCAGCGCAATCCTTGGGACGTGTTTTTAAGGTCATATCATCCACGGCCGCCTGCTTACGAGCTGATCTTGACAAACACCGTTCCATGCAGCTGATGGGCACAAATCTTCCAATAAAGCAGCCGCAGTGTGAACAATAGTGGTTAATATCCTGGCGGCCCTGCCATTTTTTACTACAAAAAATGTTTCATGTTATTTAATTAGAAGTAAGAAAAATGTATTAAATCACAAACCAAAGTTTTGTGAACCGCAGGAATATCTGCAGGCAGGTAACCACCTCCAATTGTACCACACTCGATCCAGACTTCTCGCACGAAGGACAATGTATCCAGGTGGACTCCTCTTTTAGGTAACCCACTTGTTGTTTGTGGCTGACACTAATGGCCACAATCTGCGGCTCTTCTACGGTCATGATGTGAGTTCTAGCGAGAACGATCGGAGACTAAATACAAAACAAAATTTAAAGAGATCGCCTGGGGGAGAAACAGACTCAGAATTAGAGATCTCCAGATATCTCTCTTTCTCGACATTTCTCTCACTGAGGCGTTGGCAAATTAAGTTGCCGAATGGAAATCATATAAATTATTCGCTCTTAATTATCAAATTCCATTGTAAAATAAAAAAAAAACAAAATTTGATTCAAAGGTTTCCAAAAAAAATTGTGTATTAATTTTGTAACACATATATTTTTTTTAACAGTAAAAAGTAAAAGCATTGTTTTTTGGTTTTATTAAAACATTAAAATATTCTACAAGAAGGCACCTTTTTCATTAAAAAGCTTAGCATTTTGTTATATTATTTCTCCTTGTGTTAACAAATCGAGCGGATGACATCTTCAGTGATGATCTACAGCTGTGGACGGCGGAATACGCCCAGGTACTCCCCGCAGGCACCACAGTGGTGCCTTTTGGTGCAGCATCGCAGCCAGGAACGCACCACACGGGTCTTGCCCTTCGTCCTGCAGTACGGACAGGTGATCTCGTTGGGGCCAGGACCAACGGCAAAGTAAAGTGGTTGCGGATCCTGAGCCATTTCGGACAGCAAAGATGTTGACTGTGTCAAAAACAAACGCAGACTAAAGCGATCAAAGAGAAATTAGGGGTATACATTGGTCATACAATCTCCAAAGAGAAAAACTTAGCCAGAGAACAGAAGAGTAATTGTATGCATTCAGTTTTATTTTTGTTTTGATGGTTTTGCTGTGGGTGGGTATTTAAATTTTCAGAATAGTTTCAAAAAAATGTGTGATCTTTGTAGGCTAGGCGGTGGTTGCCTTTATTTGAAGAGGTTCCCTCCTCTTCATGGATCGCCCAAAGTAGCAGCCACAATTGCCGCAGTAATGGCTTCGGTCGGTTTGCTTGCAGGGCACATAGTAGTTGAAACAGCAGCAACAACAAAAGGTCCTGAAATAGGATTCGATCAGTTGTTTTGAAGACTAACAAACTATTTTATCTTACACAAAAAGACAGCCCACAATGCGGTTAAGTTCGCTGGCCCACCACTTGAGATCATTCTGCACCACACTCAGATCCTTGATTCCACAGGCGGGGCACTTGATCTCCACCGGTTCGTGGGGGAGGTTGAGGAACGTTCCAGCCAGGGGCGTGGCAAAATTCTCATAGATCTTGCGCTCCTTCCGATCCTCCAAAGCTATGGCCGCCCGCTCCCGGACCTCCTGCTCCGTCTCCTTCTCCGGCAGCGTTGTCGTCATGATCGCTCAGCAATCGAACTGAAAGCGAAACGCTGCCAAACAAGCAGGCAACCTGTTTGGATATTATAAGAGAGCGAGAACACACTCGAAAAAAAAACCATTGCATAACTCATTTAGAGAATAAGTTTAGTAGATCACTTTATGAACTTTCTAAAACCTTTACAAAATCTATGGAATTTAAGAATATTTCTTAATTTTAAAGTCGCTTTCTAAAATCAACCAGTCAAGATTTCAAACCCCACTTTATAGAAAGATAAATATTAACTGATTTTTTGTGTAAATCTATCTATGTATCTTTCAAACAACTTTATAACCTTAACTCAAAATTTTCCAAGTGTGGCAGAGAGTATCCATAATGAAAGAGAACAAGAAAAATTGATTTACAATGCGTCTTTAATTGAGTTAGACGCGTAATAGAATTATAGAACGTAGGAATATTTGGCATTAATTTCATTTTAATTGGTCGTTAAGTGGGTTATTTGGCCTTGCGTTGGATTCCCACTTTGCCGCCACACGAGCTGCAATAAACCCCCTTGGTGGTCCATTCCCGATTGCAGCCACACCAGGTGCACACGCAGCAGATCCAAAAGAGTGGAAAGATGCTATATGGAGTGTGGGGGATAAATAGTTAGTGGTTAGGAACATCCTTTGATGGGGGAAACTCCTTACCAGGAAAGCAAACTGAGGCAAAAGCTGGCGTCCTTGCAACTGGCTGCCCTCATCACGGCCGCCTGGCTCCTCTCCCGACAAAGTGGGCACAGTAACTTGTAGGTGGAGGGTCCGACCGCATAGTACCGGAGGCGTGGCTGCTGGCTGGAGCCAGGAACTGGAGCAGCCAACTCTTGGGCGATCAGGGTCACCTTCTCCGCGGCATGATCATCGATGAAGGGCACCAGGCCATCCTCCAGCACCACATTGGCAATGATATTCCGGGCACGCTCCTCCGTTCCAGCGGGCACCAATCTCACCCGCAGCCTCTCCACCTGCTGATGCTGCTCCATGGTTACTGACTATCTGATCTCCGCCAGAGCAACCGAAACCGAGCAGCGAGAGCGAGGTGATCTGATCACAAAGAGAACTTCGAAGAGAGATGCCACTGTAGAAAAGAATTTGTACGCGACCATGGAGCTATGATGTCATCAGCAGCTATTCAGGGGATATTCACTCGGTGTGGCGGTGGCCCCTCGACCAGAACCAGATCGGCAACCAAAAATTAGGCCAATATTTGCCCATCCAATATATAGAGTAGTTCCAAAACAACATCGACCACATGGAAAATGTTTCGACATTCCTAAAGACACTTCTGTGTGGTCGAGATGCAAATCATCTGTGGGAAACATTCTGACTCTTAAAAACTTTGAATGATCTTATAAACAAATTTATTTTTAAGAAAATTGCATTTCTTATTGATTCTTTATATTCTAGATTCAGAAATCAAATTAATTGAAAAACGAAATGTGTTTACTATAAAATAAAATTATTTTTATCAAAAACAAAATAATTAAGATTCAGAAATCATATATAAAATTATTTTAATTAAGCTATTAAGCTATAACTTAGATTCAGAAATCAAGAAATCAAGCTATATCGGAATAAGTAAGATTCAGAAATCCAAATAGTTTGAAAATCGAAATATTTGTATTAAAATATTCCACGATATGTCTACAACAATGGTCTACAACTCCTGTTGATTGGTGTATTACTCTTATTGCGTTTACCGGTAAAAACAGCTGATAACTATAGATTGTTTGTATGGTTTTTGTTTATGTTTATGTTTGGTTTGGCATTATTTGTAATTTTTTTTACAATTTAAAGCTTAGTTGAGCGAGTTGCTTTTGAGAGAGAGCTTAAAGCTTTAGCGAAGTCGTTTAAAATAACTTTATTGTTGGTTTCTATTGAGAAAAAAACGAAAAACGTAATTGTTAACCGGCATTATATATATATATCATAGCTTAACCTAACTCATTTAGAATATGAGAATGAAAACGTTTAGACCTTTGAGTTTAGAAGACACAATATAAAAGTTTAATAAAACCATAAAAGGGCGAAAAAATGTTGCTATATACTTAATGTAAAAAACAAATAAAATAGCTAGTTATTTAAGGTAAGCATATTTTAATTTCGTTTCTTTTTATTTCCTTTTCAGAAAATGTTTAAGTACAGTTTTGAAAACAAAATTTCCATGAACATTATATTTCTTAAAAGTTTTACGAATGATTACCAATATTTATTAATCTACTTTCTTTTGCTCAAACGAATTTTTAAACCCTCCTTGGTCACTAAAACAGGAGCAGCATCGAACCGGAACTCAACCTCCCTGCGAGGAGCTTGAATTAGATCGAAATTGGCCAAAACCTTGGCAACCGCCACCTTTGAATTTACTTTACCCATGCGCAGCGCTGGAGGAATATGTTATAATTAATTGGAGTTACACATATATTTAATAAAATATTCTCACCTATGCAGTGCCTGGGTCCCTCTCCAAACGGCATATAAGCTGCCTGATCGTAATTCATGATGTCAGCATCAAATCGATGGGGATCATATCCGTTGGGATTTGGGAAATACTTGGGATCACGTTGCATGCCAAATAGTGAAATAAGGATGGGTGTTCCCTTGGTGATGGTGTGGGTAGTACCGGGCACAGGATAATCTTCGGTGCATTCTCGGTTCAGGAAGGGCAGGCCGGGATACTTTCGAATGGTTTCTAAAAACACACTTTTAGCATAAAATCAATGTATCCAGATGAGTCTTAAGAAAACCCACCCATTATGCAGAGTTCCAAGAATTTGAAATCTTGCACCGCCTCGTAGGTGAACTTATCCCCCGGCTTAAGATTGTGCTTCTGAAGCACTGCATCAACCTCCTCGCGCGCTTCCTTCAGAAGCTCCGGATACATGGACAGCTCGTAGAGGGTAAACGCGGAAGCGGCAGCAGTGGACTCCGATCCAGCCACATAGAAGAGAAATGCCTGGGCGGCAATCTTCTCGAAAGACATTGACTTTAGCTGTTCCTGAGCCGTTTCCATGTCCCACACTTGGTCATCGTCCTCGCCGATCTTGCCCGTATTTCGGAGGCGGATAAGCAGCTGCAGCATGTCCTTGCGCACCACATTATGACGCTCACGGAACTCGATGGTGCGCTTCATCATGTCCCTCAAGGATGTTAAAACCCGGCTCTCGTAACCCAAACGGTTCATTAGTTTGGCAAACCTAAAAATTAGTTTTTAAGATTTATAACCTTAACTCAATTATGTTCTATTTTTTACACATTTTAAGATCATTATAAGAACATGATCTATTAACTATTACTTTAAATTATTAACTGTATTTCACAATTTTGGGTAACGTGTTTTTCTTGGTTTATTATTGGCTTAAATATTAGCATCTGCCTCTGCCTCTGAATTTAACAATCTTAAAAAAAGTCAGTAATTAATTAACAAATTAATTATTTAATCTCAATACTTAATATTTTTGTTGTTAAGTACATTTTTTTTCTAATCTTATCATTGAAAGTGCAGCTGCAATTCTTGAAGATTAAAAGAAAAACTCAAGTAAGTAAACATTTAGAGGTGGCAATTAAACTGCAAGAATTTCGCAAACTAATTTATTTTTGGCAATGCGCAATTTTCGTACTCACGGTGGGCATATGAACATGGACATATCGTGAATCTTGAGCAGTAGAGACTCATCCTTTGCCGTAGAGCTGCTTATTTCACGGAACTCATTTTTCGGATTACTAAAGCTGTCGATCTCCAAGCCGAAGATCACCGATCCAATGATGTCTACCGCATACGTGGTCATCACATCTTTGATCTCCACTTCGTCGGTGTGGTCCAAAACCCCTTTCAAATGCTGTACCAGCTTATCGCCCACATCGTCGATCGTACCAAACATGCCTTTGATTTTTCCGGAGGAGAATGAGGGTGTGAGTTTCTGACGAAGATTCCGCCAGGAGGCTCCTCGAAGGTTAAAGAGATTGGCCGAAAGCGGATCCTTTTCCTCATCCACGTAGACCCCACGATCGTGGAAGCTACCGAAATCACTGGTCATGATTTGGCGAGCCAATTGAGCATCTCGGATTAGGATACTCCTTTTGTTAATCATGTATATTCCAACGAATTTGTCTTCGTGCCGGGCATATATATCAGCCAAAGCCAAGCCAAAACTCCGTTCCTGTTTCATTACGGGGTCCATTACACCAAAGGGGATTTTTGCCGGCTCTTCGTCCACTCCCAATCTTTGCCAGTAGGTATAGTGACGCCTCACATATTTGTACAGACATCCCAGGCATAGGATTAGCAGAAAAATAGCCCACATATCGAGTATCTGTGAATGACACTTTTGGAATGGAAAATCTCCAATTTCTGTTAGCGGTGAAATCTACGCAAACTCCTCGATGTACACTTCCCAAACTGAACAATTCCACTGGCTGGGATTCGGTTTTTATGTAAGACATATATAACCGATAAGCACCTCAAACGAACGTACGACCAAAGCAATCAGCAAAAATAGTTCTCTTCCAGCTGAGCAAGATACTTCTCAGCTGGAAAAAGCTTTCGACTCGTTAGGAAACAGGGCAGAATAAAAACAAAAAAGAACGCTATAGTCGAGTTCCTCGACTATTAGATACCCCCTACTCAGCCAAAAAACTCCAACCTAAGTATTTCCCCTACAAAACTACGAAGCTTAAGTGGCGCCATCTGTCGAACTGCATAGCCAACACTAGAATTTCCATTCCGACCCCCCCACATCAACCCCAACCTCCTAACATGAGGTACATACTTTCACAATTTGTGGACGTTAGAGTGGGCGTGGCTCCGTTTTGTAATAAACTTGCACTGCTTAGGAACTACTAGGATCTGCATGCCAAGTCCCGAATCTCTAGCTTTTATAGTTTCCGAGATCTAGACGTATTGTTCATACAGATGGACGGACGGATTTGATTTGATTGAGGCACTTTACGTTTTTATTTTGGAGTTTCTAAAGGTGTGCAGGATATTCCGCAAATAGAACGAGGGCTTTCAAAATTGGACCTTGAATATAAGCATTTTATTGTATTTTAAATGTAAATAGTTGTATAAGCCAACCAACCCTTTGTATCATAGGCATTTTACGATTTTTTTTAAAATTATTTATTAATAATTCTCATCCAAACGTTTTGCCTCAAGCGCCTTGCGCTGCCTGCCCAGCTTCTTTTCATCCAGCTGCTCCTTCTCCACCTTGTGGAATCTTTGCCAGCGTCCATGGTCCTCCACCTCGCCCCTTTGGAGGCGGAATAGAGTCCTCTTGTACCAACTAAGAGTGATGTCGCGTCCTATAAAGCAGCCGCACGAACTGCAGTAATGGTTGACATCATGACGACCCTTCCAGCGAATGGGATTGCTATGATATGAAAAATTGTAATTGTAAAATTAAATTGTCAAATTATTTTCAAAATTGTTTCCAACTTATTTTATAAGTTCATGGCTAGATCAATTTTCACATAATTAAAAAAAAGCTTATAAAATTAAATAATAATAAATAATATACACAACCGCGAAATATAGGCCAAATTATTATTCAAAACGTTTTTTTAGATTTTTTTCCTTTATCAATTATCTTAACAGAATCAGTGCCTAAGCATACCAGCAGAGGAGCACATTTAGCGAGCAGACAATCTTCTGTAGAATGGTCACTGCCTCCGGCTTCACGCGGGTGATCTGCAACTCCTGGCAGGCGGGGCACTCCAACTCCTGGGGCTCGGTGGTCAGGTGACCCACCTGCGGCACCGCCGAGATGTCGCCCTCGAAGGCACTGCCATCCAGACTCTCGGTGCTGGCCATTTCGAAGCGTCGGAACAACTGACTCGAGAGCCGCAAACATTCGCATGATGTATCCCAAATCTGCATTGGTATCTACATCACAATCAAAACTAAGAGCGGACCAGAGAGAGTGGGAGAGATAAATTTTGGAGGCAACGCCTGAGTGATGATCGAATAAATTCAAGTAACTTATTAAAATATTTGACAACAGCTGCCGGTTTATTAATAGATCACTTGAGCGGATTCTAGAGAGCTAACTTAGTGGACGTCCAGCTATTTGGGACGCCAGTGGAAGCCCAAGTGACCACCGCATCGGCTGCAGAACACACGTTTCGACTTCAGGCGACTTTGTAGACAGGAGTAGACAAAAGTCAGAGCAAAGATGGGAAAACAACTGAAAATAGAGACCAAAACAGGTTAGTCCTTTGGGATATATTTTTTGTTTTATACATTTTAGATAGCCTACCAGGACAGAGCGGATAAAAGGCAGCTGAGCTGGCCCAATGCTCCCGTCATCTCCACGGTTTCCGTCTTGGAATTTTGCTGGCACAATGGACAACGAACCTGGTAGCTACTGGGTCCAATGCTGAAGAATCGCACCTGCGGCTTGCCAGGACGCTCCTCCAGCGTGATTGTGGTGGCCTCCGATTGGTTATCCCCCCCTTGGAGGTCCACCTCCAGATCCGCATCCAAGTCGTTCCCTCGAGACATTGCGACTGGCCAGCGATATGTGCCAAACAAATTGGCAAATCCCCCAGTAGTGAAATTAATAATAAAGAGAATTGCTTTATCGAAGAGATCTGAGCTAAGAGAAACACATGGGAGAATGATGCAGAAATCAAAAATTTTTTTGGCACTCAGCACTTCAGTCTCAGCGCGCTCATTTCTCGCCGCAAGGTCAAAAAAAAGTGCTTAAAAACTATATAAACAAATAATTAAATGCGGAGCACCCACTCCGAGTCCGAAAATCCCCCACCCCCCTCTCCTTACTGTCTTTTCCATGCCCCCAAGAGGTAGCCACACTTGCCACAGATGACCTTGCAGTCATTGGCGGATCGTCTCGGACAGCAAGGATAAATGGGCAGCAGGGCAAAGCAGCTGGAAATGATAAGAAAATAATCAGGACAAAAAAGGGTCATTTTTAAAATAGTCTCTAGTCTTAAAATTGTAATAACTGTATTTAAATATTAAACTTCAGATTATTACGTTTTTGAAAGGAAATAAAACTGGTTATAATTTTTTCATTTTAATTAATGTTTAAAATTCCAAATGCCTATCTTGCAGATCGAAAATGCCCATTAAATGTTAAAGAAGTTATAGTTTAAATAGTAATTCAATAATAAGCACCAAAACTTTCCCTTTGGGGACTTGAATATTTATATTTTTACTGTTTATTTTAAAACATGATAATGTTTGTTTCTGAAAATTAAACTTTGACACATTAAACGACGTTCGTTAATATAATATAATAGCCCATAAACTAACACATCCAAAAAATGTTTATCAAATTTGTATTTTCTTTAAATTTGAATTGATTGCCCCTAAATTTAATTTTTAATAGCTCAGTACTTTTTAATAGCTCAATAAACCCGTGGCTCTTTATTAAATTTGAAATTGAATTGTCAGATGTATTAAAAGGAAAATTTTTCTTTCTTAAACTGCATAACGACTAAGTACTCACCACATGGTCAGGAGTCGCTCCAGCCGGACTCCCTGCTCGTGCAACCGCTCGTGGCACTCCGGACAGTACATCTGTCGAAGGCAACTGATGTTGGTGGCCGCCGGCGGCGGAGGCGATACCTTCTCGGCCAGCTGGCCCGTGGAGTTGCTCTTCCGGCAGAAGTAGGTGTCCGACTCCGACTCCTCGGCATAGCCGTATGGATAGCCCCTGTGAGGGGGCGTGGAAAGGAGCAGCTGGTCCAGAGCCTGGGCAGATTGCTGCTTGACCTGGCCGCAGTTGGGGTTCAGGTTAATCTCCACCAGATCCGCTGGGAACTCGTCCTCCTCGGGAGCTTGCAGATGGAACGTCAGCTGCCGACTCATGTTGCTGAACTGACTCGACTTGGCTTTTCTATTTGCCTATAAATTGGGTTATTTTACAATTGAAACATTGAAACCATAAAAACATAAGTCAAACAGTTAGGTCTGGCAAGTAAGGAATGGCAAGGGGATCATTTGGGGTCGAGCGGGGAGTTAGACAAACCAGTTGTTCATCTGTTTTGTCAAGCCCCCGTCCAGCCGCGTATTTGCCTAACACTATTTTCATGGTTGCGATGTTAACGGCTGCACTTGAACGTAGACCCCACGAAGAAAAGCTTCCGGCGAGTGGGTGAATAATAGAGCTTTTGCCATAAAGCAACAATGCTTCGAATACAGTTTAATTAACCCATGGAATACCAAAAATACTAAACTAGTTAAGAAAACAATAAAATACATTTTTAAATAAAATTAAAAATATTTATTTATTAAATATTATATTAGAACATATGTTATTAAGGTGATCTGGTTATGAAACGTATGTATAAAAGTTTAAAAATTAAATAAAGAAAACAATAAAATTACTAAATATTATAGTAGAAAGTTTTTTAATTAGGAGATCTATGCTATGTACCTAGCAAATTTAACTTGTTTGGATATTAAATAGAAAACTCGAGAAATTCATTTTTTTTTTTGCTTTTAACTAGACCAGCATGACTCACCAATTTGTTGGTTGCTGTGTTATCTATCTAGGGTAGAATCATTTCACCTCTGAGCTTTCCACACTCGAGTTATGATTCATTTGAATCTTATGTTTGATCTGACTCGAATGAACTAATTCTTTTTTTTTCCTTGATTTAATTATTCTGCATTTATATCGACCCACTAATACTTCTTATCAAATTGTTCATTCTTCATATAAAATACTCATAAATCTTTGTTCTGATTTTTTTTATTATAGCTTTAATGCAATATTAAATTCAAAAACGCGTCACAGGCTTAGCAAAATTAAATTGCCTTTAAAAACATTTAATTTAAGTGTTAAATACAAATGGTGATAAGATAGACAAAATATAAAAAATACTTTGTACGCTGTATATAAAGTATAATATAATAACAAGCAAATTTAAATTAAAATCGTGATAAAGGTGAAAAAACATCATTAAAAAAAAACAAACAAAAATCGTATAAGGCGTAAAAACAGATGCAACATTTTATACTTCAAATATAGGCTGGATTCTCAAACCGGTACAGAATTAACAATGATTAAATTAAGGTAAGAGAGTGAAAGCCGACAAATTGTGTTGGCTAAATGCTCTCGCGAAAATATGTCTCTAAACTAAGCACAGCGTAATTCAATTTCCCATGCAGTTTAACTTGTCAAACCTCGTATTGCTTATTCATCATCAGCCTTTTTATTATAGGTGCTATCAAATAAGTGACTCATATAACACCCATTCACAGGAGCATCCCTAAAACTCACTAAATCAAGTGTACAACAAAAAAGATATATGTTTATGAGTACGAATGAAGTCCACGTTGTATGAAAGCTATCACAACGTAGCGATAAGATTGTAGCCAAATGTTAAGGTATTGCCGGAGCTTCACTTTCAGTTCGGTCTTTAGTGCAACGGCAGGCAGCAAAGCGATCGGTTTAGTTCGTTCGGGAATCGCTCAGGAATCTAGAGAATCCAGAAAATCATAAATTTAGGAACATGGACAGCAAACAGCCTCCGCCGTACAGTGAGCAGGCCGGATTCACGCCAGCACAGACCTATCAGCCCGGTGGTCCCACCCAGCCTCCAATGTACCCACCGATGCCACAGCCGCCGCAGCCTTCCACGGTGATCATCCAGACCACGACGACCTCCAACCTGGTGCCCATCGGCTCCGAGCCCACCCGCATCTGCTGCCCCTCCTGCCACGCCGAAGTCGTGACCACCGTGAAGAGCACTCCCTCCAGCAGGACGCACTGCTGGGCCCTCGTCATGTGCCTGCTCATGTAAGTTCCAAGTCATATGTGTATACACAGCTTTCCTTAACGTCATTGTTTGCCGTAATTGCCAGATAGAACGACTGAGGCGTTGGCCAGAGTGTTCAGAGTCTTCAGTTTGTTAAAAAAGTGCTTATTTTAAAGGTTTTAAATTAGGGATCCCATAATATTTAATTAATTAGTACTGTTTGACGATTAGTTCATTTTTAATGTTTAAACTTTAAATAAACTTAAACAACTATACTGCATTACAAAACTCAAAATTGTCAAAGGAGTAATTTCCTTAACTACATTGAATTGCTTGTGAAAAAAAGGTGGTAGATTTAGGTGTGTTGAGCAAAAGCTAATATATATATATAAATATGTTTTAGTTTCTCCAAAGAAAATATATATAATAACTTGTTTGCATTGAGAACTTGCCAGTTTCTCGCCTAAAAATAAAAATGATACGCCCATGCAACTCTTGCGCCTTCTTATCGCTTTGCAAGTACAATAAGTTTCTACAGGCATTTCGTCTGTGTGCAGGCCATACTTGAAAACAGTGTTATCTCAACTGGAACTGGAGTTGAGTTGAGTGAGATAACAGAGCTGCGATAGCAAACAAGTGAACTGACTGAATTCGAGCTGCAAACGGCAGCCGTAAGAGCGTTTATAGGCCAATTGGAATTAGCGCTCTGACTAATAAATTATCCCCGGAACTTATCTAATCGATTTTCACCAATCTTTATCCACAGCTGCTGGCCATGCGTCTGTCTTCCTTATTGCATGGACTCGTGCCAGAATGCCAACCACTACTGTCCCAACTGCAGTGCCTACATCGGCACCTACGAGAACTGACGTCTATTTATGCATACAACTATCTATAACATAGAGAACCCTAAAAATTAGCGTCATATTCCAGCGAAATTTAACTGTAAATATACTTGTACGACAGTCAAACATTAAACATGAGATTCAAATAGGAAAAGCCGCAAATCACTCATGTGGGTCATAAAAAATACCCACTTTAGCTTTTTTCTAGTTATTTTCATAATAGGAAGTCTAGTCATAGCTAGCTTTTTATGTGAAATTGAACATCTAAAAAAAAAATGTTTAACGAAAGTTTAGAAACTTCCATGACAAGCAATGGATTTAATTTGGCATATCAGTTGCCGAGGATATTAGCAATGGGTATATGAGACTACAAAGGACTTATTGCAGCTTAACATTTTAGATCGATGACTATTGATGACTTGATGACTTTTATACAATCAGATTATAATGGTCAGCTAAGTTTATTAATGCAATTACTTAGATGGCTCATACAATGCCATGGAGTTACTGGAACAAATGTCAATCGATTAAGTGCTGCAAGTGCAAACTCTTTTATACATTTAGTAAAAAAGTACCTGTCGATTAGTCAGAAAAGATAAGGATAGAGCATTGTTGTCATTAAGTGGCCGGTGATTTCAGTGCAAGTCCCACCGCAAACATGAACAACTCCAGCTACGGAAATGGTAGCCCAGGGGCCAGACTGTGGGGTGGTAATGACCCAGATACCCATTTACACCCTGAACGGAGTGGGTGCTGGCGCACTGCCGCTGTCTGTTGGCCACCAGCCGGTGCGGGTGAGGTTCCCGCACTGCAAGGATGAGGTCACAACTAGTCTGGTCACCGCCCCCACCCGGAAAACCCACCTGTGCGCCCTGACCTTGTACATCTAGTGGTGAGTGGAGAGTCCGGATACCCACTCACAGATTCACTAAACCAACATCCACAATCCATCAGCTGCTGGCCCTTCGTGTGCCTGCCCTACTTCGTCGACTACTGGAAGAGTGTCCAGCTCTACTGTCCTAACTGCGGATGACACATTGGGAGCTACACAATTTGATTTGATCAACGCTTTTCGCACTGCCAGCAAGCATTTACGTGTATGGACTTTACAAAGATAAAAAGATATTTTAAAAATTTCAATTTATTTAAGCAACTATATTATGACAAATAAAATAAATTAGTAAAGAAAAAGAAAAAGAAAAAGGGAAAAAAAAGTTTTTCAAATACTTATATAATTATTTGCACATTAGGGTGGACTTCTTTTACTGCCCCTAATGTGCCTAAACTTTGGGGTAATGCGTGTGACCTTTACATTAAAATAAACATTTTTGGTTTTCCCATAAATTCATTGACACAAAGCCTACCATTCAGACGCTAAAGAGCTGGATTATCTCATTTTAACTAAGGTGTGGATACATATGTACATATGTACATTGGTCGTAAATAGCAAGACTAGTGTCGCAACTTTTTTAATTTATATCTCTAGACTTATCATATGTTAATTGATTTGATTCTAGTTCCCTAAGCAAAACCAATGTAAAAAAAGTTTTGCCCAAGACGCGGTTACACAAAAATCAAAAGATCGATAGTTTGTACTAACACTAATTAGGTTGAATATTTTATTTTCCGAATACCTACTGTAAGCTGATAAAGCAATGTCCCGTTGTCTTCGAACTTGAAATTTCGGGAACTCTTATCAATGTAATCCCCGTAGCAATAACTTATCGATATATGCAAGCTCATGCGATCGTATAGTTGTCTCGCTCTCGCCAAGTGCAGAATGCTCAGCGTCATTTTTGTTATTGTTTTCTTTTCCCGAAGCACATGCATTTCGGGAGCTTTCAGTTGCGGTTCGGAGTTTGCATTGGTCAGAAGAACATTTTGATTTTGCTGGAAGTAATTAAGGGCTCTACGTGCCTGTTTATCAAGTACCACGCTATCTATAATGGACTACAAACGAGTTGACTCGCCGCCGGCCTATTCGGATGACTTTGCCACGGCTCCTCCGACTGAAATGGACTTGAACCAGTACCAGGCGTCGCCAAATCAGATTTACCCGCAGGTACAGCAGTTACCCCAGACAACGCCGATGTCACCACCACCCTCGGTGAACGTTGTGCACCACCAGACCACGGTTTTGGTGGACACCCCCGGACAGGGAATGATTTGTCCCCATTGCAACGCCCGGATTCGCGTCCGAGTAGATCACCATCCTACTGGAAAAACTTACTGCCTGGCGGCGATCCTCTGCCTTTTCCTGTAAGTATATCAAATAAAACACAGCTGCGGGCAGACTAATAGCACCAAATAGGTCAACCTATTTAAATTTAAATTTCCATTTATCCATTTTATGGAAAACTCCACACCATGGAGATAATTATTTCACCATTTCAATGTCAGAAGTCCAGCAGTCTGGGTGCTATTGCTGTGACCGCATCTGTTTTGTTTCGTTTGCATTTAACAGGAAGTGTTCGATGAGTAAGCGCCGATCGTGCCTGGTTCTTTATAGCCCATTCTCCCCTTTTTATACTCCTCCAGTTGCTGGCCCTGCGTCTGCGCCCCTTGCTGCTGCAACTGCTGCTACAAGACCTCCCAATTCTGCCCCAACTGCAACGCCTGCTTGGGATCATTTTGAAGACGCCAGCGAAAACGAAAGCACTCGCCGATTTCATATCTACACATTCGTATTCTTCATTCTCGAATAACCAAGTATATATGTATGTATGTCCTCATAAAGTGGCGCATTTATAATATAAACACTTACCATACTTAAGTTATTTAATCGACTCTGCTTACAGTATGCGAAACTGTAAGCGAGAAAAGATAATCAAATAAAGCATTGACAGGCGAAGCATTTTCTGGGATTCCCATTAACTGAATTTTGTTTGTTTGCGTTTGCTTCTCTATTTCTGTCGATCTGGCAGCCTTGTCGGTGGAAACGTTGTGAAAGTCAGTAGCACTGGTATTTCTTCTATAGCTTAGTTAATCTTATTTAAATATTTTTTTTATTTTTGGTTTTTTATTTAGTTTAATTAGATCAAGCAATGCTCATACTTATTTATACTTTAATTCGGTAAAAACTACGAGTTAAACTTAATCAATTATATAAAGAAACACGAGTTGAAATTAAAATAATTTGTTTTTAACAAAAAGCTTTGAAAAAATATAACAATTACCACTCTTGTGGTTAAATGAGCTCTATTCTTACATTTTTATGTTTTTGTCTTAACGTTTCAAACCTGTAATTGAGTGGATGGTTATACCATTAAAACCCCTATTCAGTTTTCTATTTATTTAAGAAATGTAATCGTTCCAGACGATTTATTCGTAAATTGTTGTTTTACAACATTTTTTAAAATACAATGAATACCAATGTATAGGTAAAAGTTCTGTAGTCACAACTTGGTGATTTGTTTTTTTTTTTAACAGAAAAATAATATAGTTTTTTATAATCGTTTTCGCCTTATCCAAAAAACATATGAATCATAACTTTAGTTTAGTACACGAAAACTTAAAACTATCCTCTGTGTTATCCAACCGAATAATCCCAAAAAGTGGTGAGTAGCCTGCAGCATGTTGCTGCAACATGCGGCAGGAACTTTGTGTGATTAGCAACATTATTTGAAAACGACGATAAGTAACTACGGCAACCTGCCTTTGCCGCGCAAACAAGAGCCGCACACCACTTTCAAAACTCCAGCAGTGCGCAGTAAGTTTTGGGAGCTCTACGAAATTCTAGTTTGGCTTGGAGGTTCTTACATTTGTTTCGGCAACGTACTTTGTAAGTATACTGATACAAGCCGCGTATAATTGTTACAAGTATGGACGGAAGCTATTAAAGTTCAAATAAATATTTAAATAAAATCGGGTTAAGCTAAATACGTTGCTGGGCAAACAGGACAACGCCTTCGAGATGATTGCCACTCCTCGAAAATTAGTTTTGGACAACTGAGGAAGAGCACGCAGGTCGGAATGTGGATTCCGGTGGGAGTGTGTTAAGCACTGGCGCCGGTCACACCCGCCGCTTAATGATGATACTATGCTGTGGTCAGAAGCAGTGTGAATATAAATAGACATGTTGATTTTAGGCGCGCGCAAACAAATTGGGCGAGTACCCCTCTGGAGCACTGGAGAGATGATGGCTGGATTGGGGGTTGAATGGGGCAAAAACAGAGAGACGCAATTGGACGATGACGACATCGACAGACAGCCACATACTTTCAGTTTCCCCATGGCACGTGGATGAAGATGACCTCACACAGTTTGGGATTTACCCTGAAAAGAACTGGAGTGCATGCAGCAACAATCAACGGGAGATAAGGCTGATCACAGCTTGTTTGCATGGCGGGTGTGCAATTAAATTCTACACAACACAACTAATTTAAAGCTTATGCACCAACGACACGCAAAGTTTCCAAGGTCTTTGCTGCAATCAATAACAAAGTTATAAAGCTTCCTGTTTTATTTTTTTGTTCTGCAGTTCAACTAACAAAATGTCCACTCCCGTTGGTCCGGAGCCCTGCAACGTGGTGTGCCCCAGCTGCCACCAGCAGGTCACCACCCGTATAGAGCCAAAGGCCACCACCAAGACCCACTTGATAGCACTGATCATGTGCCTGACCTGGTAGGCTGGAAGAACCCTTTGCTTTGTTATCCTAACTAATTTCTATGTCGAACAGCTGCTGGCCCTGTGCCTGCTGCCTCTACTGCACCCAATGTGCCCGGAACTCTGACCATCATTGCCCATCCTGCAACGCCTTTATTGGCACCTACGAGCGTTGAGCAGATTTCGATTTTAAGGTTGTGGATTTTCGTAGTCTGCGGCCAGCAGTCGTACCGAAATGCAGCCCAAAACTTTACATTGTTACCTCTCTCACATTTATTATTACGCAATATTTTGATATTAAGCAAAACATTGTAGTACCTGCTTAAGCTTTTGTATTCTCAGCACAAAAATAAAAAGATTCAAGGAAGAAATCTTCAGGCTTTTATTTGACTGACAATATCAAAAAAGAACATTTTTGTTATAATCCTATTTTAGGTTAATGTATCTTAAGACGGGTTAATTTGAGGTGATTCGCCAACGCGTCTTTACCACTATTACTATCATTCACCAATAATATTTAATTGCTGTCAAGTAGCTGTAAATTGGTTGGAGTGTCAGGACATTATTCATATGTCTCAGTTTCCTCTGTTAATATTATAAAGTTGGTTGTCTGCTGTGCTACAGAAAAACTTTCAATTTTTATAGAATTAGAAAGATTATAGTTGTTGTTTCGAATCATTAATCAAAAGAATGTTGTTTCCTATATAAAAACTTCATATATGAATTTTTGATTTACCCCTTGCGAAATGCAAGTTATACAAAGCGATAATAAAATTCCGAGTTGGTATGGCGAAATGAATTCATATTCTTTCAAAATATGTTGTTCTATTTTTTTTTAAGAAGCAAGTATAGATAAAAATAACTGACATGTATGTTTTTTCCAGATTAAGCAACGCATTAATGGAAACACATCCGACAATATAAAGTATATATATTCTTTATCAGCATCGCCATTTTTATAAAATGGCCTTAGACATAGTCGGAAAAGTAATAATTGAAAACCTATTTTAACTTTGTTGTTTGTTAAACACATCGTATATACTCCGATAAAAACTACAATTCAACGAATTTAGAACAACGGATTGCATTGAATTACAAATCGGTAGAAAGGGAAAGCTCTGTAAATCAATAAGAACTATCTTCGATGTTTTATACATATATCAATATGAATTGGTCCTCTTCAGTTGTTCATAAAAAAAAATTAGAATAAAAGAGAAAATGCATATGCATAGATTTACATGATTGGCCAAGAGAGCTCTTTCTAAAAAATGCCCAAATCAAACAAGTAACACCGTTTCCACACGGTCGGGAAAATGGCTATGTATGTATTTATTTTAAATGTGAGTGATATTAAAATTTTTTTATGATTGTTAGCTTTAATTATATATATATTATATATTCACAGCCACCTGCTCTTTTGAGTGGTATTTAAATTGAGTGATATGGTGAAAACAAAATATAACAACGGTCATGGCCATGTACAACAATTCAATTGTAAATTTTTTAAGCTAATGCTTGTTATATTGTTTTTCTTTCATTCAATGAGATCGGTTCTGGAAGAGGAAGTGACTCAATTTTAGTTGCATTCAAAAAAGCCGAAAAACAAAAGAAAATATTATATTGATATAGTCTGAAATTCAAAAGTTAATCGGAATTTGCTCGCCACCGAAAATCCCCTAGCGCACAATCAACGGCAAACCACCAACTCTCACAACTGGGAAGAACGGATAAAAGCTAACGAATTCGAGGCGCCGTCTGGGAGCACAATTTAGTTGCCAGTCTGAATTCGAACGTGTAGCACATCGGTCGGAAGTAAAAAAAACCGAATAATGGAGAAGAACTTGCCCTATGACCATCACCACCAGCAGCCCGTGCCACAGGCACCGCCCAGCTATGACAACACCCAGCCGGGCTATCCGAATTTGAACCAGCCACAGCCGGTGATTTTGACACAGCCTCAGGTTATGCAAGGTAAGTACGAAAAAAACTATTTTCAAATGGTTTATGCCCTTCTTTTTATAGCTAATTAGTTATACATGAATACCGAATTTTTATACAAACAAATTTCGAATTCCAACCTAAAACTTGCCCTCAAAGCAAACACATAAAAAAAATCTTTTGCGAAAATTTAATCATGTGCATTTCCTCCTTCATCAACAAATAAATTCTTCGAATCGAGCAAATTTTATATTATATATATATAGTTTATATTTATATATATAGAGCGATAGCTGATCCCGTTTTTCATCAACACCATTTTAATTACGCAAGGCTTGTAAGCAACTATGCAAAAGCCATTTGTTTTTACCAATTAACTAAATTGATTGCCGATAGAAGATTAAATACAAAAACTAACGTTTCGTGTGTTTTTTTTAGCACCCCCCAATGTGTTGGGTGGCGTTCCATCTATGGCCACGTGTCCGAGTTGCGGAGTTCGTCAGCAAACGAAGGTGGAATTCGAGCCAAGTACTAAGACCCACTTGCTGGCCCTTCTTATTTGTATGCTGGGGTAAGTAATTATAGTTTGATCCTTTTGCCAACAAGGACTTATCCTTTTTTTTAGGGGAATTTGCTGTTGCTGCATTCCATACTGCACCGACTCCTGCCAATCGGCTAAACACACCTGTGGCAGCTGTGGAGCCTATGTCGGAACATACAAGAACTAGGGATCTTCTTCAAACCCCGAAATATCGAAAAGAATACGCGCTTCATCTGAAAGAATCCCAAAAAAAATGTATTCCCAAAGGGCTTTCGCCTTTTCTTAACCCTGAAAATATTGTAAAACGCTTAAAGCCTTTATATGTTTACTTGTACATTTCAAATAAAATTAATGAATAACTTGTTACTACTAAATCGGGGACTCAGAACGAACTACATAGACTAAAAATACATATATGCCGGTTGCAAGTTACAAGTTCGTTTCAAGAATTGGAGCTTGGACAAACAAAAATGTTGATAATTTTAATTGAACTGGACTCCCCATCCCCTCACGCCCTTGTTTAAACAGAATCAATGAATTTAATCCACATAAGCAATCATTTGTTGTTTGCTGGCGCAGCCTTATATGCACAGTGGGCACTATACACACTAAAAGTTTAATTAAAATTAAAAAAAGACAAGTGCACAAATTTATCGCTAAACAAAGAAACATTGGCAGTCAGAACATTTTTAAACTTGAAAAATATGATTATCTTTAATTTCTATCTTATAACCACAAACGGAAAATTTTTGTTTTTAGGTCACATCCTGCAAGATGGAATTTAGTTTTTCGGTTTCCAACAATATGATGAAATTCTGTACATATCTATGTATTTACTCTCGATTTCATCGGCGCTTTCTCGCTTAATCTTTACCCTTAGGTTATCAACTAAGTTGGTATTCTTTGAACTTGCGATTAATCGGATTTGAACTTTCACCGAGAACCAAGTTTTAATAAGTTAATAATGATAACCTTTGCAAACAGTTCAATTTTAAATAACAAAAAAAAATCTTAAAGAAACATTTGCTTTCAATTTCAACTATCAATATGAAATTGTCGGTGTTGAAACCACTAGAACAGTATTATAAATATTAACACCACTTGTAAACAAATTCATCTATTTGCTTAATGCTGTTCCAATTTCTAGTATCTTTTATAAGCATTTGTGTCTAGCCGACTGTAAACATGTTGAGCAACATAGCCGTGTTGCACAAGCGAAATGATTTAAAACGGCTTAGTCAAAGTCAAAGCTGAAACTTTGGACTAGAACTAAAAAAACATGGATTTCAGTTACATAGTGAAATAAACTCGCAAACTTCTTTGTGTTTATTTTACCAAAAACTTTTACTTTATTTTTTTTAATTAGTTTTGTAATCGGCACGCTGCTTTGAAATTGTAATGTAACAAGACTGATTTTATTTTGCAGCTTTGCTAATTAGTTTTGTATTATTCCCTTGTTTATACCTTTGCAGAGGGTATTATAGTTTCAGTCACAAGTATATAAAGTATATATGTTCTTGAACAGCACCAGGAGAGAAGAGAAGAGTCAATGTCTGTCTGTCCGCCCGTCTGTCCGCCCGTCTGTCCGACCATCTTCCCGATTCTACGCAAAATAGTCCCTCAGTTTTTAAGCTATCTGCATGAAACTTTCCCAAAATTTGTCTATCTACTGCAAGTCGAAAAGAGCCTCATTGAACGACTACATAAAAAATCTCCTATGGAAAAAATCGTGGAGAAAAGTATAAAAAATTAGAACTTTTCTGTTTTTTAATTTTTGTTTGTTAGTTTAAAGATGCGATTTAAATTTGATTAAAATCGGGCGACTTTATCATATAGCTCCCATGGAAACAATCGGATTTTAAAATTTTATAGTTTTCAATATTTTTTTAATAACTTTTAATAATGCAGATTAATGCTGTTAATTTTATTAATATCGGAAAAAGAAATCGTATAGCTGCCCTTGAAACGATCGAATAATTGAGCTGAAAATCGTCATAGTTTAATGTTATTAGACATAAACGCATTTTGTTGTCTATAATACACTTGCTTCTAATTTCATTTTACTTACAAAAGCTTCTGTACAAATTTTGAATATTCGATTTGGTCCTGCTTAGGCATGGGTTGAATTTCTAAGCACTGAAAAACAGTTATATAAGGAAATATTTGTATGTTTGTAGCGTAATCCGAAAAAATAAACAGAAATTTTATCAGTGTATCATTATGACGAAGGGCAGCAGCAAAAGAGCAACAAGAATTAATTTAGTATTGAACTGATAATATATATACATTTCAATTTAAAAAACAAGTATATTTTTGTGAAGTATATATAAAACTCTAAATGTAATATATTTAAAAAAAAATATAAATCTTTAAAGCATACTTTATTCACATCTCTCTTCGCAGAATTTAGATTAGAACTTTTCTCCGAAGAAAATCTGTTGAGCTTTATGTTCATGCAATTGCAATCGCTCAGTCGATATTTGCAATACATGCAGTAATGTCGGATGATTTTTGCTGTCCCAACTGCGATTCAAAACCCATGGTTAAGGAAAGGCACCTGAATGAAAAAATTTAAGATGGATTTTTGGTTATAATTATAGTTATAATGTCTCATTTAGTTCAAATGCCATTGCAATTTCAATTAATTTTCAGTGCTTTATGCTGCGGACGTCGATATTGTGGAGTAGGCATTTACGAAAGCACCATCAAATGCCGGTCTTGTGGCTGGAAAGGCGATCCAAACCGCTCACACTGAAATTCGTCTAGTATAGAGAATAAATGATAAATTTATATTAAAATAAGATAGTGAAAGTAAAGTCAGCTGTTGCATGTTGTGTTGTCAAAAGCAAAAGAAAACTTAACGCTTTAAAGCCCGATGAGCTTTGAAATTGCACTTACAAAAAAAAACTACTCCGAACTAATTAAGCTAGGCGAAAATACAAATCAATATTTATTTTTTTTTTGATGAGAAAGAATTTCTGGCTAAAGTTTTTTTTAATTGGACAACGATAGAAACGATCGAAAAAATCAGCAGAAAATCGATGTAGCTTTATTGATTTAAACATATAGGCGCAAAAACTGAAACGTAGTCATTCTAAAGTACTAAGTTTTTGTAAAAACTTCAGCTGGCCGAAGGTGGCTTAATTATTTTTCCAGCCAATTACGTTGGTTCTGGAAACGGAAGCGATGTAATTTAAATCCCAATCTGTTTTTTCTGTTTTGTATAATAAAAAAATGAATCGGAAATTGAAGGGTTAAAACAAAAACGTAAAACCGAACGAATTCGGCGCACCAACATTTCAGTTGCCAGTTTGAATTCGAACGCGAAGCACATAACCAAACTGAAACGAGAAAATTGGTTGTTCGTTGAGCAAAGACCGTTTGACTCACTTAGCTATGTGAACGTTTCAGTTCTGACATTTTAATTAAAGGGTCCTAAATTGAGACCTATTTTTTGAAATAGCTCTGATAAATCACAAATCAACCGTTAGTTTACTTCGTGTTTCACAAACATTTTTAACACTTGTTAAATGAAGTCAAGTTATTGACCTACTCTGCTAATACCAATTAACGATCAACAACTCACAATTTATTGTTTTATATAAAAACTATGGATACGTTTGTTTTTTAAGCACACCCTAATGTTTTGGGAGTTCGGAGTTCGTCAGCCGACGACGGTCGTATTCGAGCCAAGTACCAAGACGCATTTGGCCGCCCTTCAGGACTAATCCTGTTTTTTATGGGAGTATGCTTGTTCTTTGTTTCTTACTGCAGCGACTATTTTGAGTCGGCTATACACACCTGTAGTAACTGAGTAGCCTAGTAGCCCTATGGTATTCCGATCATGCTCGCCCTTTTTAAGCTTTCATAAAATATTTGCAATATTCTGACCTTGTTATTTTGGTTTACTCCTCTGCCAGAAAATATAACTTGTACATTTCAATTAAAATAATTTAATAACTAATCGTTGGTCGGGAATCGGCTATAAGTTCGTTATATATTTCATTTCCGACCCAATAAAATATATATTTTCCTTTATCTTCCTTTAAGAACAATTTCTCAAAATTAATTTTTTTCTGACTTCTTACTAACTACATTAAAAAGTTATTTCTCCTCATAGAAAAGTATATAAAGAGGCGGAGAAGATTTAGCTTTTGTTTCATCATTTCTGAGCTCCTAAAGGCTTTTGTCTTGACTTTAAGGACTTGATCCTGCAAACCAGAACCCAGACTATTAGATACCGTTACTCAGCTAACCAATTTCAAAATAAATATGCCCCCTGAAAATAATCGGGTTTTAGGTGGCGCCATCTGCCTGAAAATTTAAATCTTTGCCAATAACTTCAAAAATATTGGAACGATTTGGAATTTTTAAATTAGTTGATAGATATTTCACGAATTAACATATACAACGTTATAAGTAACATCTACAATGTCCCTGACTGACATGGTAGACTTACGCGCTTTGTGGGCGCATTATCCCAAATCTCTGGTTTTTGTAGATTCCAAGATTTCGATATTCATATGGATAGACAGACGGACAAAGCATATAGAATATATTGACTTTATACGGAAAAGCTTTCACTCCACGAGTAACTATGCCTATCATTTTTGATGAGAGGAGAAAGAGAGCGAGAGAGTTAGAAAAGCAGCAATAGTTTTTTTTTTTTAGATAAGAGCGTCGGCTCTGCCAGGTTGTTGAAAGAGTGATGAATTTGAGCAGCGATGAACTTCTGAAATGAAGGGCACTCACACAAATGAACCACGAGCCCATGAGTATCTTTGCCTTTTTTATATTCATACATATAATAGTTAGTAGGTTCTACACACAAAAATATATATTGATTACATTGACAATTACATTGATCAAATAAGTGTATGTATTTTGTTATTGTTTGGTTATATGGCATTTTTACAGCAGTAATGTAGTAAGTAATAAGGTATGGGAAGGCATCGCTTTTCCTAAGAGGTGTGAGCACCAAACAAACATATTTTAGAACAAATACATTTTTTATTATTTTCTTGTTCCAAATAGTACCAACATACCAATTATTGCTTTTTACAGTAGCGGGTCTATTATTGTTATAACAACACTATAAACATCGGTAAGGTAGAAGTTTTTATGGTGTAAATTAACTGATAAATAACTATTTTTAGTTGAAAAAAATGCTCTAACATATAACTTTAGAGTAACTATTTAATAGGGAGAATAACCATTTAGTTTGCAAAGGAATTATTGCGATTTTATTCGCCAAATTGAGCAAAGTTTTTTTTTCGTGCCGCTTTTGTTTAATAAACAACGCACGCAATTTCTTGTATGTGTGTGTTTATATTTGAATAGAAGAAATTCATGGTACCATTAGCACCAACGAAAATTCTATTTCTCCCGCGCAGCTTTAAAAAGCTTTCGTTCCAGAACCAAAAATTCTTGTGTTGATCAATGCTTTGCTCTCTCAGTTGGCAAACTTGGGAAATGCCTTGTTAAGCCGTTTTGTGAAGAGCGATTTAGTTTCGTACCTGAATCGCAACGAGAAGCATATCTGTCGGAATTATAAAAAAAATAAAAAATGGATAAGCATATTCCCCTGGAACAAGTACCGCCAAGTTACAACGACATCCAACCGGTCCATCCAAATCTTAATCAGACACAGCCGTTGATTATGGTACAGCCTCAGCCTATGCTGAGTAAGTAAGCCTATCCTAAACTGAAATAACATTTTTTAAGGCGCCAAAATCTTGTACACACTGAAATTGTTTAAAGAAAACGATTGTAAGAGAAAGAAAAAGACTATTAAAATGTTTGAACATAGTGGTGAACTAACTATTGGTACATGTTGATAATTATTAAATTTAAAAATCCAAAAAGCTCTACATTTCCTGGAAGAAAACTATAGGGACTCTTGATTTTTAATAAACTATTTTGTCAAAACTGTATCGATTTGGTACCTTTTTTCTGTTTAATCCGTTTTACACCTGTACTCTAAATTATAATTTGCGGACTTTCAACATTCTTGCTGTGCCTATAATAAAGTTCGGCACCGTATCATTAAAAGCATTAAAATTTAAATTTACAAATTTCATCAATCCCTAATATGGTAATATTGTATTGGTTTTGTTGCTTTCATTCTGTGAATAATATTAGCAAAAATGCATATAATACAAACAAAAAATAATTCGAATTTTTTCTTTTTAGCACTCCCGAATGTGTTGGGCAATTTTCCATCAACTGCAACGTGTCCTAGTTGCGGGGTCCGTAGCAAAACCAATGTTGAAATTGAGCCAAATACCAAGACTCATTTGATAGCTCTGCTTATCTGTGCGCTTGGGTATGTATTTAAAGTTTGATCCTTTAGCAAATATTAACAAACCGGCTTTTAGTGGAATTTGCTGTTGCTGCATTCCGTACTTGACCGACTCCTGTCAGTCGGCCAAACACACCTGTAGTAGCTGTGGAGAGTATGTGGGAACCTACAGGAACTAGTGATCATCTGCGAGTGCCAAACATCCTCAAGAAACTGTACATTTTGATTCCTTTATTTATTGATTAATATGATTAAATAAATAAATAATTAGCTGTAAACAACAAAGTAAAGTAAACTGATACATAACAAAGTAAAATACACTGATACATAATTGATCATTTTCATAGTCGGGTTCCCTCTGTATAGGGAGTGCAGTGGTGATGAATGTTATCAAAAACGTTGAGTTATAAAAATTTATAACCCACCATGATCTCGAGTTACAAACTTCAAATTATGTAAAATCGTTTTTAGATATCTAAAGTCGGCAATAAAATGACATTTGACCTTTTCAGATTGCTCTGTTGATCTTACTACTTATTGTTTTAAATCAGTATATTATTAACTTAGGTGAATCAAGCTGTTTTTGGGCCAAGCAGACTGAGCAACCAATACCAAATTTGGAAAATCGAATAAAAGTTATTCCAAATTAAAAAAGTACGCAATAATAATAATAAAATCTATCCAATCAACTAGTTAATATCTATCATTTAATAGCAGTGGTAACCTTTTCTTTTGTGAGTGATTTGAACCCCAGCAGTACAGTTCATAAAATAAAAGGTTTGGAGTGCCCTCCAATAATAATAAAATCTATCCAATCAATTATTTAATGAAAAGCTTCCGAAAAGCCCTAACGCCCGATCAGTTTCAAATTTTTTGGATCTATGTATTTTGGGGTCCTGTTTACGAAAAATTAGGTCAAAGTTTGCGACAAGACCGATTTCTTCCAAAATAACGGTAAAAACCATTATTATGTTTTTGTTTTTTTGTCAATAAATCCTATAAAATAAACTTTATCAAAAAAAAAGTTGGAGATCTAGTAGAAATACGCATTTCAGGTTTAGAGACTTTTTGCGCAAAGCTGATAGTTTACGAGACTTTTTGCGCAAAGCTGATAGTTTACGAGAAAAATGCAGAAAACTTTTGCCTTCAAGACGTCTTTTTAAAATGAGCGCACAGTTAATTAAGCCGGGGTGGTATCACTAAATTCTTACGGTGTAGACCTTACACTCAAATAACATCATAATTTTTTTTTATTTAAATTAACGTTATTTTTTTTTTAAATTTAAATTTTGGTTTTATTTACTTATGGATTTTGTTATTGTTTTTAATTTTGTTGCATATGTTGTAGATCTTTCTTAAAAAATTTTTAGAGTTTGGTATTATTTTCTGTTTGTTATGGTTTTTTTTGCAGAAAGGGAGGAAGGTGTTAAGGAAGAAATGAACGATAGAAATAAAAACGCCGCAGACAAAAAAAATACTTGAAAATGATCGGGCGTTGGAGCTTTTCGGAAGTATTCTATTATTTTTTGGAAAAGAGAGAGTGAGAGAGGCAGATAGAGTTTTTAGCCTCGACGAAAGACTAATGGCCTGAAAGGCACTAACACAAATGAAGACTGAAGCGAACATGTCATAGTATCTGTGTTGAGCTTTGGGGAGTGTTTATGCTATGTTATCTTCTGTTTTTTAATTGTGATTTTCAGATATTTGCTTGAGATACTCTACACACGAAAAATTAGTTGGTTAAATTTACTAATCCGATTTTTTCTGTAACCATAAGAAATTGTATTGTTATCATTAAAAAATAAGTATATATATTTTGGAATTGTTCGGTTTTTTAGCTTATTTTATCACTGCTCACATCGGCTTTTAAAATTGAGCAATAATTTTTGCATTTTGCTTTACATCTTTTAATACTCGTTATTCAATTAATCAATCGAATGTTTGGTTTTTTATTTGAATAGACGAAACTCAAAATGTATGTTTTGATTAGCACCTACGAAAACTTACTCTCTCACATTCAGATTAAAAAGCTTTATGTTTTAGTAGATAAATTCTTATCTTGATCTACGCTTGGCTCTCTCTCTAATGGCAAGAATGGAAAAAAGTCTATGAAATTTTAGGCCGTTCAGGGAACAGCATTTAGTTTCGTGACTACAACGTAACGAGAAGCACATCTGTCGGAATAATAAACAGCGAAAAATGGAGAAGAATATTCCCTTGGAACAAGCACCGCCCAGCTATATTTCAACCCAGCAGCAGAACCCAAATCAAAATCAGGCACAGCCCTTGATTGTGGCACAGCCCCAGTTTGTGCAAGGTAAGTACGAAGAAAAACGTATCCTAAGGGCAAAACATTGTACTCGTACATAAAAAAATTGCGTAGAAAGACCATCAGATGCCTCAGCCAAGAGTGCGAATATGCTTTTTATTATATACACTCAAGATCATATTAATAGGTCACTTTAAGTTTTTCAAAGAACTTGTTGACAATGAGTGGCTAGAAAGTGAGGTATTCGTTTTTATTACGTGACTTACATACAAAAATATTTAACTCATTTCTTTGGTTCCCGTTCTTTTCGGGTATTTATAGGTTCTTCAAAATCGCGTTTTTTGACTTTCTGCTAAAATTGTCGCTTATTTAAAAATTAAACCTTTGTAAATTTTTTAACAGGTATCTAATAGTCACAAGCAGCTAAATAAAACATAATATAACTGCCAGAAAACGAATAAGTTTAAAAGTATTTTCCTTGACGCGATCTAGACGATTAATGCGAGCACACATACAGTTTCGAGAAAAGGTCGGCAAACAGAGGTTATCCCACATCTTTTTTCTCAAAAATATTTTTAAACTCATTGTTAAATAAATATATAAGATATAAAAATTTTTAAAACATTTAAATTAAGTCGATGTATTTGAATAGAAAAGTTCCAACTATTATAATTATAAGTGTAAATTAAAAGCGTTCTTTTTAAAAAAATAACGTTAATATACCTTTGCAGAGGGTTGTATAATATAATTTTCATTTCGTTTGGAAATAATAATTATTTGATAGTTTAAATTTACGACTTTAGTTTAATTTAAATCGGAAAACGATCAAATAGCCGCCATAGGAACGGTCGAATAATTGAGCTGAAAATCATCATAACTTTAATGTTTTTAACCATATGCGCATATAAATCGAAAGTTAAGAGTTTTCAAGAATATTTAATTTTTGCAATAGCTGCTTCTTTTCTTGTTTTTTTGTTGTTTATTTTTATAAGCAATAGAGTGCAATTGAGTTGTACGCTTTCTGCAAATACTTTTATTAAAAAAATTAACTTTGATTTTTTTAAAAACTTTGCTTTTTTATAGTACTTCCTAATGTGCTGGGGATGGTTCCATCAATGGCCACATGTCCGAACTGCGGAGTCCGTAGAAAAACGAAAGTCGAATTTGAACCAAGTGCCAAGACCCATTTATTAGCCATGCTTATCTGCTTGGTGGGGTATGTTCATATAAACGTTTGATTTTTATACCAATACTAAGAATCCTGTTTTTAGGGGCATTTGCTGTTGTTGTATCCCGTACTGCTCTCCCACCTGTCAGTCGGCCAAACACACTTGTGAAAGCTGTGGCGCCTATGTGGGAATCTACAAGAACTAAGAATCTTCTCGAAAACCAAATATCCTTATATAATTTATATAAATTAATAAGCATATTTAAATCTATACCCCAGATTTGCAATTTATTTATTTATTTTATTTCATTAACTTCAAATTTGTGCTTTTTCACAATATGATTGTAATCAATATGTACTCTCGATTTATTTCTTTCGAATAAAATAAATATAAGAGTAAAAAAAAAATGGTTGATACCAGACGAGGCTTATCAGCTGCGCATGGAATTATTCTTAGAATTTGGGAAAACAATCTCGAGCTTGATTCTGTTGCTATTGGAAAGAGCTTAGTTTTGAAAATATGTTGTTCAGGAACAGACCAGCATGTAAAAGGCGTTCGCCGGAAGTTTATAGAAATTTGTCGGAACCAAAAACCACAAGGAGAGAACCATCTGAAGGATATCTCCTCTCTAATGATTTGCATTTATCTTGGAGACAAAGAATTTGGTTTAATATGCGGTATGTTCCAGTGCTAAAGTTATCCCTAAACAGAGTTCAAATTGTATTTACCGACATATATTACAGCTCTCTTGGCTGCTGTGGAAAGCCTGGGACTAAGTAGTTGATCAAGTGATGTGTATACAAAAAATAAGATAAAACAATTTTGACTTGTTATTAATGTGTCATCTTATAATCGTTAAATTTCGTTTTTTATTTATTTATAAATTGACTAAAAAAATGTTCGATTCAGAATCTCATTCCTATCAATATTTTTGTACTTACTGCTGAGTTTGACAAACGTCATTAAACGTCAAAACAATTATAATAATTGGCAATCAAATAAATATATTTTTTGAATATCCGTTTTTGGGCTTTAAAAACCATTTTAAAGTAAATGGCCTTAATGGGGATCTAAGCATTGTCGAGCCCAAGATCCTTTGGACTATAAAACTAAGATAACATAAAATATGTTAATATACGTATGCCCAACTGTTGTTGGGAGTAAGTACTTATATCTAGGTATTGATCTTAAAGCGGTTTTTTATAAGGAATTTTATTCTCTCCCTTTTAAATAGTAGAATTTGGTACAAAATAAATTTAATTAATATCCAAATTAAGTCTAAGGGTCTGTGCAATGGTCTCAAAGTTTCCATAAAAATTACTCATACACAGGCACGTAAGCCAGTTTGAGTTTTGGACAAGCAAATCTTGTTTGATGTCGTTTTTAAAAGGTAAGATTTTGAAGAAATAAAAACCTTGCCATCAAAGAGGACTTCCTTTCTGTATTGCTTTTCAGGACACTTATTTTAAAGCGAACTGTTGCAAAGATTCTGGTTACAGTATGGAAAAATATGGAAATTTGAGTACGTCCATTGCAGGACATCAAGGAACAAGTTGTACGTTTCCATGACGTTTCTAATATGTATTAAAAAATATTAATCATTCAGGAGAACTGCACCATAACAGGTTAGTTCTACTTAAAGTTTCTTTGGGTACTCTATTTAGTATTAAACAAGCTATGGACGATACAACCTTACGGAAGTTTTAGGGACTTGGATAGAAGTATTAGGTACAGTTTGGCAAGAATGGGAAAAATCGTAGTTTTTCATAACACCAAAGATGGTTGAGGTTCTCGATAGCTGCCAAATCAGCTCTCGCAGTGCAGGTTAGATATTAGAGGCTACTGTGGAGGCCTTCGGCTTAGATTTGGACACGCTCCTCATAAGGTATTTATATGTAAAAACATTTTTTTTTTGTTATATTAAGAATGCATAATTTCACTGCAACTTGAAGAAGTTAATTTCAACGAGTGCGTATCCAAAATATCATAAGTCTGCTGCAACTTTTCGAGAGCTCAAAATAAATAATAAACAATTTTAAATAAATATATTTTTTGTTACCACTTTTTACCTATTCCTTATCTTACAAGTAATTATTTTCGCCACTTCCTCGTATCTTACCTAGATCAAAAAAACAAGGTCCTTTCCCAACCCGGACACCCATACATGATGACAATTCCCTTAAGATAATAACCTTATTTTTTCAGTTCCGTCTAATGTTGTGAGTGTGAAAAAATCACTTTCATTTTTAACAAATAAATATGTTTGGATTTATATATAATATAGTTACCAGCAAACAAGATAAAAAGCTAAAAAGGTATAGCTTTTATAGACATTGTTGCCAGCAACACACGGCAGCAGTAGCAATGTTGTGCAACATCGGCAGAGCAAAGACGAAATCGCGAGAGTCGGATTGAGTTTCAGTTCGTAGTTGGCTCCCAAACGAAGATGCAGTACAATCAGCCGCCGGCGGGGCCCACTGGTTATCCCCACCAGATGCCACCGCCGAGTTACGAGCAGGTGGTTCATGTGCAGGCACCAATCCGAGTGGTTCATGCAGCATCACCCCCACCCGTGGTGATCATTCAACGTGGGTATTTTCGTGACGTCAAGAACAAGTTTAGAACAGTAAACACTGTTTGTAATTTACAGATCAAGCTGTCATGCCCGTGGGTCCCGATCCCAGCTTCATTACCTGCCCGCACTGCCATGTCCAGAAGCTCACGCGCGTGGAGTACACGCCCAGTGTGAAAACCCACTGCATGGCCGCTCTCCTCTGTATTGTTGGGTAAGATCTCTGGACCTCCTCAGGTTATATACTTCAGCTTCACCTTATCTAATCTCTTAATGAAAAACCACAGCCTCTGGTGTTGTGCATGTCTGCCCTACTGCGCCACTAGCTGCATGAATGCCAACCACTTCTGCGGCAACTGCAACAAGTTCGTCGGCGTCTACAACGGTGATTTGTAATCCCTACAAAAAAATAAACAGTACCAAACGAACCGAACCAAATCGAACCGATCAGACACACGCTCCCTCCACACACAATCACACAAATCATTGAGAATGCGAACATTTTTGGTTAGGTGTCGACAGACGATGAAATTCCCCCAGCAGGGTAAACAATCGGGCCGGCGAGCTTTTGGCTTTACTTACTTGATAAGAAAACGCGATACGAGGCACTTTTTTTTTCCACGGCGCTCCCTTGTGTCATTTTCCAGCGAGTCACACGTCCAGAAAGGCCAAAAATATGGATCCCGTCTATCCAGCTGCGCCCTTGGAAGCACCCAAGGGATTTGGAGAGCTGGAGGCGGCACATGAGCACCAGCATCTCCTCCCACCGGCGCCACCGAGTTACGACCAGGCCACATCGACTCCGGCGGAAACTAAGGGACCACCTCTAGCCGCACCGACCGCAGCTACCACTACCACCCAGCATACGGTCGTCGTAATTCCCACTTCGCCATACGGTCCGGATCCCATAGACATACAGTGTCCGTATTGCCACAATTTCGCCCGGACACGGGTCTCCTGCAGGCCCAACTCGCGAACCCATCTGTTTGCCTTGTTGCTGTGCCTATTCCAGTAAGTAAACGAAAAAAATAGTTAAATATATGTGTCTTACAAACAAAAGTCTTAAATAAATTTAGACAAAATTTGTATGTATACAAAGTAACCAGTAACCATGGTTAGCTAAAAAAGCATTAAATGTGTTTCGATTCGATTTATTTCTATGTGTGTTCTTATCAATATTGTGAGTTAACTTCAGCTTGAAAGGTTGCGACGCTTTATTTTTAAATCACAGAAAAGATAAAATTGAACGGGTGGCCAATAAAGCTCGATAAGTAAGCAAAACCTGCCTCAATTTATTATTCATGCATAAAAAAAACTGATAGTTTAGTTTTGACAAATAATAATAACTAAAAAATATAGTCCCTATACTTTTTAAATTAATTTCTATACCGAAGAGTCTAACACTGCAGTCTAAGGTATTTTTTTAAACACTAAAATACCTTCTTGATACATTTTTCTTACCCATTAGTTTAAAATTTAAATGGGATGCAAGAAAATGTATTATTTGTTACTGGTTAAATCATTTTTAAATGTATTTATCTTATTTAATGTCTTAAGTTATGTTTAAGTAATATTCAACAAATATTAATGATATTTAGTAATAAAAACATTTTTTCTGGTAACATTTTTTCTGGTAAAGTAATTTTACAATGTTTATTTTAACTTTAAAGAAAGATTAAAGCTATCTTATTGTTTTCAGTGAGGATTACACTTATCTATGACTCATTCAATTGGTTCTTTCACTTTTTACAGGTTGTACTGCTGTGTGTGTCTGCCGTATTGCATTTCCAGCTGCATGAACACGAATCATTACTGTGGCATGTGCGATCGCTATTTGGGCACCTACGATCGCAAGTAAGCAAAACTGAGGAGTCTTCGTATGATTGCTCCGTTCATATGTACATGCATATGTAGTAATTAGTAAATAAGCATTTTGCAATAAGCAAACTTATACAAATTCAAGTATTACATATTTTAAACTGGAATTTCAAGCTCTAATTTTGCTGAGAATTCAATTAAAGTAGTGTGTTTAACAAAAGTGTTATTTTAGTAAAGAACCCAGTTATTTTTATACTTTGGAAATGTAAACCAAATATTTGAAGAGAGAAAATAAATAATATTTGCTATTAAAATCTAAATTTGAAAAGTAAAGTGAAAATTTACAAAAACAAAAGTGAAACTGGTTCTTAAAATTAAAGTCTTGTTAATTGCTCTTTATTAGAGCAATATATTTGTTTTATATTTAATTGCAAAGCTTTTCGGAGCTTTATTAGAATTGTTGAAGTGGCACTCATTTTAAATATTACGCTGCAATGCACTTTGATAACTCTTTAATTTTTTTACCCAGAGCTACTTAATTACCGACATTTTTCTATCTGTATGTTGTTTAATGTTTATCGGACATCCTATTCTCCTACGAAAGATAAGTTGGATAAACAAAGATTTTGTTGTGTGCATTAGATAAAGCTCGGTAAACACAATCCGAGAGATGTTTTTGGTTTTGCAACAGCCCAAAAAGATTGCTCAATCATCTGGGAGCTTTTCAAGCTCGCTCCGATCTGAACCAAAAACTTGAATGCGATTCCGAAACTGAATCTTTACCTGGATCCGAATCCGCTGGCAGTTGCGAGCGGCGAGCGAAGTGCAAAAGACGCCGTCTAGTTGTAAATACGCAAAGTAAACACTTTCGTTGGCTTGACGGATAACCGGAATCTCTTACTCATAACAAAGAAAAAAAACTGAACTTCGCACTCGAAATAGGTTTATAACAGTGTGTAAAATATGGATCAGAAGCGAGCCATGCTGTATCCGCAAGTGGATTTCAACACCCCGAGTGCCCCGTCGCCGACGCCAACAAGGGAATTGGGCAATCCCATGGGTCTGCCCGTGGAGGCTCCTCCATCGTACGATGTGGCGATCTCGGTTCCGGTGGTTCCAGTGGTTTCTGCACCAGCGATTGTCCCAGCACTACCGCCAGTGGTTGTTGTCGATCAGCCAGCACCACAGCCGCCTACAGTGGTGCCGATCGGTTCGTAGTTAAACAGTGGCTCGAGTATAAAGCTCTCCTGACGTCACTTCTGCTATTGCAGATGCCCTGAATCTGGGTCCAAATCGAAGTAGGGTCCACTGCCCCGCCTGTGGGGCCCACAAAACTACCAGAATGACACATACTGCTAATTCCAGAACACACATGGTTGCAGGTCTTCTCTGCCTAGTGGGGTAAGTTGAGGTTTCTCTGAATCATTAAGAATTACTCATTTTCTTATCAATATGCTTTATTTAAATGTAATTGGAAAACAATACAAATGTTGAAATAATATTATCCCTTATTTATTATGCCAAGAAACTCACACGAAATACACATTTTTAGTATGTTGATTGTATGTTTAAAATTGTAAAAACATCATTATTATATTATATATATTAATTAGCTTCAAACGAATTGTTTATTTGCTTACAGTATCTTATAATACATTTAATTTAATTTAATATAACTTTATTTCTGTTTCAAAATGTTTCAGTTTTTGCTGCTGCGCCTGTTTTGTCCCCTATTGCATGAATAGCTGTCGCACAGGAAACCACTATTGTCGCAAATGTAACACCTTCCTGGGTGCCTACAATCCAAAAGGGATGAACTGATGATAAGACTGCGATAAGATGTGATCTGGGGGCTACAAAATAGAGATACAAATCTATGCAAAAACAAATCAGCTGATGTTTGCATGGAAATAAGTTAAGATTGTACAGAAGCAAATGGCTGAAACGCAAAGGGTTAAAGATAGATAGAAGGCAAACAAAAAGTTCATCAATTGGTTAAAAATAATTTACATATACAAATTTGAGGTGGCTAAAAATTTTTTAAAGTTTCTCATCTACTTAACATAATAAACATAAGCAGAACCGCTTACCTTCGCATTGTTGCTGAAGCAGCTGGCCTTTGGCTGGCTAAAAAAATAAAAGCGTGGGCCATAGCTTCGCTTCGCTTGGCAATAAATAGCAAACAAAAAACAAACAAATGACAAGCAATTTTAAATTTAAAATACTTTGGCGCCTAAGCTAGCAGAAGAGTTGCCGGACCAGAAAAAAAACCAATGCTTGCCAACACTGTTTACGCTCAACAATCGATATATCGATAGCCTCGTATTGGGTAATTGCGCGATATGGCAATGCTGCCGCAGCCAAAAAGACAATTGCAGAAAGTTTTTTTCACAACAAAAAGCCACCGAAAACCCTCGAATTAAACAACAAATGCGTGCCAAAAGCGCAGCGAATCTCCACTGAGCCACCGTTTTGCGTGTGTGTGTGTGTGAGGGCGTGGCAAAAGTGGGCGCACAACAACAAATCACGCAGGGGAGCTGAGAGAGAGCAGAGCACCCAGGCAGCGCAGTTGCAGCGCAGCAGGGGCGAGCAGAGGCTGCGGCAGAGGGAAAAGTCGGGCATTTTCAGCTGCAATTCGTCGGATTGTTTTTCCAGCCAGCCAGGTTGGTTTCCCTCTATTATGGACAAGAAATCCTCGCCGGTGCGACGACAAAAGCGGCAAGCGAAGGTGATCGAGGAGAACTTTTGGGACTGCAGCGTCTGCACATACAGAAACTCGGCGGAGGCCTTCAAGTGTCGCATGTGCGACGTGCGGAAAGGTGAGTGACCCCGATTCCCGATTCCGAATCCCCCGGATCCATCGATTCCCAAGATTGCCAGACGCGTTCCGGTTTTCGTTTTCGTTTAGTCGATTGGCTATTGAACGGTTTTTTGGAGGGATTTTTATAGAGCCATCTACCAGGGTACAAATTGAGATTGATGTAGACATCAGTAGCAGATGTATCTAGTAGATACAGCAGTGGGGCTTACATAAAGCTGTAACGAGTGGTCGAGATGATCAATGAGTCATCATGCATATCATTGCATTGTAATGACTATAACTATAGTATGTGTTTAATTTAATAAAAGGCATTTCCAAGAAGATTTGTTAAGAAATACAAAATACAAAAACCAACCGGTTTTACATATTCACCAACTCGATAAAAATAGGAATCATTTATATCAATTAAAATCTTAGAAATCAGCATGAAAAGGTTTTTATTTACTATTTCAAATTTGTACACTAAAAGTTGCAGTTGTGTATGTATTTCACAAATTGAAATTGATAACATTTATAGTTTGTTAAAAGATATCTTGAAATATTCTCCAATTGCAATGGAAGTGGATTGAATATTAATAGTTCTTGGGGCATTATTTCTTTTTAATTTTAAACAAAACAATGTAAATATCTTGCCTTAAGCAAGATATTCAATTCAAGTGCGTAAAACCGAAACTCGTCTGATTAATGTAAAATCACTGGTTCACTCACTTACGTTTTGAACTTTTTATCCACAGGAACCTCCACTCGCAAACCGCGCCTGAACTCAGCGCTAGTCGCCCAGCAGGCCGCCACTTTGCCGGGCGCCAGCGCCAACATGCCCAACGGGAAGTCTGCCTCCGGATCGCGGCATGGCAGCGGGCACGACCGGCAGCGGCACAAACGGTACCCGGCCCGGTTGAAGAACGTGGACCGGTCGACGGCGCAGACGCGCGAGGTGACGGTCAACTCGGTGACCGTGTTCATCACAGAGTACAAGGCCAAGCCGGTGAGCAGCCGGCGCGAGTCCAGCGAGCAGAGCTTCAGCGAGAGCAACGACAGCCGGAGTTAGAGGGGCAGTGGACTCCAGGCAACCACGTCCCTACGTCCCTATGTCCCCAGCTGCCCGCTCCCCGATATTGTACGCCACGGTTCCCGGTCCCCTGTTACAAGTTGTAAATTCTAAGTGTTAGGCCCCTGGCGATAACAATTGTAAATCGAAATCCGTTTAAGTTACCAAGTATTAGGCCACGTTTAAAGCCCCAAAAAGCCACGCCCCACAAGTTCATGACTTCCAGCCCAGGCCAAGAAGGCGAAGCAAAGCGAAGCGACGGCGAGTCGATTGCATTTACACGACGCTCTCCAAATCCAACCTTAAAATGCGCTAAACCCTGTACATAGCGATGCATGAGTTCCCTGAATATCTCTGTCTCGTATCGTAATTTTAGTTGTAATTTAATTCTGCTACTCTAATTCCTAATTTATTGATGAAAAGGCAACTATGTATAACCGCCGTGTACATGTTCAACAAAGATATCATTTGTTTCGTAAGTGTCGAATTAAAATATGGTTTAACTAAGTGCAAGCTAATCTCAATGTTCCACTAGCAGCGCCCATCTCCAATGGTTTGTGTAACTATTATAAACTATACCTTTTTTTTTAACCTAGACAATGCTGCTTGACAACGAAGAGTAGGAAGGAGATTGCCACAAAGCTTGGTTGTAGACAATTTGCTAATTTTAATTTGTTTGTATACAAGACTGATTAAGCGTTACCAACCAGATATATAGACGCCCACTCACGCACCCAGCCCGAGTCCGATTTTTATTTGATTTTCACCCAGGAGTTCCTCCCAGCAAACAATAGACGAATACTCCAACTCGCAAAAAAGAGAATTTTGTACTTAGCAGAGCTTAAACGCTCTTCCACCATAGCAATAATTACTTAGCGAACAAACAAACAAAAATTTTGATATGAACGATTGTATTTAATATTGGATAACGGATATAATGGTTTATAAAGTGCTTGATATTTGTATTTTGAGATAGGTTATTTAGCCACACAAAAACACTCTCACACACTCCTCAAAACTGCCGACTGTAGTCAATGAATAACTTCCAATAGACAAAACTTCAACTTGGATTACCGTACACATTTACAATTAATATGAACAGTTTGTATTCCAAATGCTTGGCCAGTTGAGCATTAATCAACAGCAGCAACAAAGACAAAAAATTAAACAAAAGCAATTATAGAAGCCGCACTCACACAACCACACGGATAGTTAAAACTTGAATTCCAATTGTAAAGCATCAACTTTTAAAGCATTATAAAATACATTAAATAAATTTCGAAAATGCTAATCCAAATCGTTGTCGTCTTCGCTTGTCTTTAAGATTTGAGTTTAATATTTTTTATTTGAGCTTATCCGACTTCCTAAACTTTTGCTGCCATGTTTTATTTTTGATTCTTTTTATGGCTGACATTCGGCTTAAAGTTTAAAGGTCTTTAAAGAGCAACGGAGCACTGAGAACCACCCTGCGTGAATGCCAGTACATCCACCGTTTCCCCAGGACCCAGGGCCACCCACGCGTCGCCTTTCCCTCCCCTCCCCCTACCCCTCTCTTGCTATGTGTGTGTGTGCTTTGCTGTGCTTTCCGGACGGGGGGAGCACCATCTGTATCTGTATCTGGGTATCTGCGTATCTGCTTACGCGTGCTCCCAGCGTCGAGTTTTCGGGCCTCAGATCAGACCAGGGTTTCAGCCCGAGTTTCGGTTTCAAATGCACGGAAAATGGGAACAGGAGCTGGAGCTGGTGCCGAAGCCAAAGCCAAAGCCGGAGCCACTGTCTCTGGGCGATGGCTACGCCTTTGGCAGTTGCCTCAACTTTTCGCACAGAGCCGGAGCACATCGCACGCTTCGCAAATAAATTACAAATTGTTTCGTTCCAGCTATGCTGCCACTGTCGAACTTCCCTAACGCCAACCAACTTCTGCCACATTTTAAATTGAAATTTACGTACATTCTAATTCTTTTTCAAGAAATCTGTATTGAAAAGTAACCCTTACGGATCCCAAGAAATTTTTTATTAAAAATAATGTTTCTCAAATGATTTGATTAGTTTATGTTAATGGAGGGTTCTGCTTTTAGCCAAACTAGTGGAAAATTGGTTAAAAGGCAGCTGTGTTTGAAATAACAAATTTTAGGTGAATGTTATGTTTTAAAATATATATGAATACATTTTTTTTAAATATTATTTATTTTAATTAAATCAACATTTTTTGACTTTAAAACCTTATTTTTGTATAACCTAGAGGCTTTTATTTGTAGCAAAATTGAATTCTTTTGTAATATTTATCAGCAACTTCATGTTAAATTGTTAGCTCACAAACAATAACTCAAGTAGATTTTCCTTGATAAATGTTAATTTGACTCAAGAAAATTCATCTTAGGGAAGCTTGACTCTACCTACATACAAACACACACAATTCCACCCACTTCTTCCACCCATTCACAGTCCTCGCGCAATTCGCTTCAGACTTCTAGCTCGGCGTTCGAAATTCTCTCGTTCGTATTTTCTCTAAAATGTTAAAATTCACTGGACCTCACATCACGCCGCCTGACATACCACCCCACCACCCCCGTCATTCATTTCCATCCCTCTAGTTTGGCCCACAGGCAGCAGGACCAGGACCTGCGTTATCAGTGCCGCACTCTGTGCGCTTATCTTCCATGTGCGCTCCGTTCTTTGGCTCCAGTTCCAGCTCCAGCTCCTCCACGTCCACGTTTTCGTCCTTCGTGGCCCTCCGCCTTCTTATCCGTTTGTTTGTCCGTGCTTCCGCCTCATCTTTGCAACCGTCCGCACATCCTGTGCCACCCACCCTACCGGTCTTTCGTCCTGCGTCCTCCGTCCTTGTGTGTAGTTGGAAATTCTCGTTTTGCTCGGAGGAGCGAGAAAAAAAAAAAAGGAAATCAACGTTGCAGCATTTGGAAAATGTTAAAACTCCTTGCTGCTGCCGGGCATTGCTTTCGCATGACGCATACGCCGCGTGGTCCGGTCCGAGGATCGCCTGGAGAACAAGTGAAGGCGCCGGATTAGGAGGGGAATGGTTCAGAATGTGGGTTGGTAATCCCAGCAAGTAACTTGAGCACTTTATGGCACAACGCGCACGTGTGTCTGAAACCGTACGTGTGTGTCTGTGTGTGTGTGTGTGGGTGCGCGTGGGTGTTAGATAACAAAAAAGGCGGTGCAGGGAATCCCCTTAAAGCTGCGATAGCTCCCGGTTTAAAACACTCTTTAGGCTTTAGCCATTTTAATTACATTAAAAACTTTTGCAGGCATTAAATAAATTGGAGCCGAAGTTGAAGATGAAGATGAAGCAAAAGCCGATTCAGAATCCCAGGCAGGCAGCGAACGGCAAACTTATGTCACTTTGATCCTTGCAAGTAACTTTGGGCCAACTCATGCGAGACACAATGGTGAACTACCCTCTAAGTGCCTCACCCCGCGTGGTAATCAAGTTAGTCTTTAAAATTGAAATTCCAGCATTAGGCAAGGAATGCGACCAACGTAAAACACAATCTATCCGAAAAGGGGTGGCTGCCAGAAGGATTGGCTGGGAGGCAGGAAGTTGGGGAAGCAGGAGGAAAACTGAGCTGGAATACGAAAATTCGCTGCCGCTTATCTGTTTCAAATGTGCCGCAGCACGTCGAATTTTATGCACCAAGAATTTATTCGTCACCCATTACTGACTGTCAAGTAAATCATTACTAATTGAAATTTCGTTTGTGGAACCCCAGTCTATTTAAAATTTCAATAATCCAGTATTCATTGTTTTTCGAACGTATGCCATCAATAATTACACCTGATCAAAAAGTAATAGTAATATCACAGTAATTATTTTGAAAACAAAATTAATACTTTAACTTTGTTTCAAAAACACAGAATTTGCTTTGGTTAAAATATTGTTTAAACGGGTTTTTACTTAAATAAAACTTTTCTAACAAAAGAACAAGATTTTTTTTACTTAAATAAAACTTTTCTAACAAATGTACAAGATTTAAATGTTCCTTAGCTCCCTTACAACTTTCCTCTCGTTAAAATGCCTAGAATAAAATTCTTATTATTATTATTAATAATATAATAATATGTGTATAATTATGTATATAAAACTTGCTTTCGACTAAAAGCTCACTAGAAACTATGAGAATAAGCAACTAAGGTTTTGAGGTGGCAATATTGCTTTATTTATTGGATAAAATATAATTTTAGCTAAATCTTACCAAGCAGAAATGTATTGAATTTTCACTTTAGAATTTTTCTATTCGAGAACAAAAAACCTGACCCATAAATTGAACAGCAAGTGTGGCATACGTTTCTTTCCCTAATTAAAGTTGAAAATTAAAGTTCCTCGAAGAGCGAAGAATGTACGACAATCGCAGTGTCACCATCACCCCCTCGGGTCCTTTGGCAGCCCCACGGACCCCCTCGCCGCCGCTGGCCGTGCCCGTTTGGGCCGTCAGCTTCATTGTGTTTATTTCTCATGTTAAAATCAAATTCCCGCGTGTGCAATTTTTCATTTGGCCCGAGAGCCGGAGTCCCGAGCCCAGCGGAGGAATGAAAGGGAAGTGGAAAAATGTGTAAAGGTGCGTGTGCCGGGGAAAAACCCAGGATGGGGGGTGGCCTTAGGGGGTGGACCTCGACTTGGGCTTGGGCGTTTTTTGGGGTGGTGTGATTGCTTGGCTGGCTCTTCCGGCGTGCTGTCTGACGTCAGGTGAAGTCAGCTTAAAGAACAACTTTGCCTACAAACTTTTGCCGCCAGCTTCAATTCTTCCGTTGCTCAGAGCGTGCGTCCTCTATTTTTCCCTGCGAACGCGCTGAGCTGCATTTTGGGTAACATTTTCGATACCTGTCGGCATGTGTCGAGTACCAAGAGGTATTCCCCCCATCTGCCCCCCATCTGCATCTCTTCATGCCGCTCGGTTCTCGATTTCTCCACCTTGGCGCCCGCATAACTTGCGCTCTAAACAAAACAAAAATGCGTTAGCAAAAGCGTAGGACCAGGGACAGAACAACCAGAGACTTCTATGGAGACTCGACGGCGAGGGCGGGGCGGGTGTTGTGGAGGGGGCGTGGCAGGGTAGAGGCAGAGGCAGCTGGCTACGATGACTACGATGGCGATGGTGATGGCGACACTGGCAACAGCAAAGGCAACGTTAGTGTGACACTCTATAATGCAAGTGGGTGTCTCAACTTTGCTGTGAAGAACAAGCCGCACTTAAATCGAATGGGCTTAGAGAGCTTATAAAATGCGGAAAGAAAGTACCATAGTCAAAGTGGTAGTTCAAACAAAAGGACCTTTTAAAATATCTTGTTTAGAATTTAGTTTTTGTGATATAAGGCTAGCTGATTTATAAAAGTATTGTCTTTTAAAAACTCGTTTTATTTTGCAGGTGGAAAAACGTTCAGTTCGACTCAACAATAAATAAAAAGGGTCCTTAAAAACTTTCTTAGGGTTAAATTTTAGATTTTCTTCTTATATCAGAAATTTGTTAACTCTACCTCAGAGTACTTGAAAATAAGAAGAATGCCTTTGCAAGTTTTGTTTAATGTATTTCTTTGGTGTGATATAGTTTCTTTTTCTAGTTCTAAAAATACGTTCCACTTCACATTTGTGGGGATTTGAAATCCTTTAATTGTATTTAAAACTATTTCAAAACATATCTCCTACTTATTATTTTTAAATCTTTACAGGTTTGTGTGTCGTTAAAAGTAGTAAGTATCTCTAAAAAAAAGAGAACTCTTCTGATTTCTTACTGTAATGATAACACACTGAACGTCTAAAGCAGGAAAGAGTATCCGTCCATCGGTGCAACCCAACGCACAAAGCCGCTTCATCCTGGCTGGCTGCTTGCTCTTGTTGGCTCCGGCTGAAAGGACAGCGACAGGCCGCTGAGGACGAGGACAAAGGAGAGGACGAAGAAGAGCTGGGAGGATTGGGAATGGGAAGGGAATGGGGCGGCCAAGAAGAGGGGAGGGGAGGGGAGGGGGAGGCAGACACGACACACCAAGTGTACAATAGCTTTAAGCTTAAACTCTCGCACACTTGCACGCACACACGCTCAGTCAGCCCCACTCACACACACACACACACAGACACTCTGTGTCGTGGAACACACATACATATATTTGGGAATACAGGGCCACGAGCAACTGAAGAGAAAAAATAATATTTTTGTTGCTTTTCCCGCTGCGTGCTGAGAAACCAGAGAAGTGGAGAAACGGAGACCCAGCCTTGGGGCGAAGTTCGTCTGCTTGTTTAAAGGGGGGAGGTGTGGGGCAAATATAGACGAGGTGAGGGGGCAGTGC